TATATTCAAAAACTCTATAAGAGAATAAGTCGTATTGAACATTGTCTGGTAGAATATTTGATAAGAAAGTAATGCTTACAGTTTGTAAAGGAACATGCTCATGTCCTACTTTCTTTGTGAATCGTCTGATAGCAATAATTTCATATATTGACGATAGCCTACTGTACAACTCTTTATTAGAAATGTTAGCTGGAACGAACCTTATTATTCCAGTCTTTTCAATCTGCGCAGCAGGAATGAAAGCTCTCATGTCATATTTTTCTAAGAAAGATGAATTCTTAATAAAGTTATTTGCTGTGTTATATTGTTTAAAAATAACTGCTATTTTATTGGCATTCACTCTTTGAATTGCCGTCACACCTTTAATTTCCGTTGCAAAAACGTGGTTTAAGTAAATAGGGCTATTGTTGCCCAGTCTGTCCTTATTGGTAGCTTCGACAAATACTTTAAACTCAGTATTAGCAGAGTTCTCCGGATAAAGTCTTTTATAGTTAGGTTTAAAAAAAGGCAAGTAAGAGTCATTACGCTCACCGCCTCCGCCAACGCCAAAGTCCACCTTGGGGTCACCACCACGATCCTCAACGCGAGGACGTTTATTTGAGGTGGGCGGGTTATCCCCGCCCCCCTCGTTACCCTCCATTTCTAAGGGTCACCACTAATAAATTCCACTATTTACACTTAGTATTTTAGTGAAAAAATAACAAAATTGAAATAAAAATGAAAAAATTTCAAATTGTACGCGCGCTCTTTTTGGAGTTCCCGCCAAAAGTCCGTTTTAATGTCACGTTTTCGTTTCAACCATACCCACATCATAACGGTGCTAAATATTTTTTTATTTCGAAATTAGAACTGCATCTGTTACTTAACGATATAATACTATTAATATATATTTTATCAATAAACTTATAAATATTTCACCCTACTAAGACTCTTCCTTGTCAAACCCATCAACATGTTAGAATTTTCATATTTTCAACTCCACAAAATCATGTTCATCGCACATGCACGAGTGGTTTTTGCGATGAATTAACAAAATCACGATAAAAAAACAAAACTCGCTAAATGAGAAACATTGTGTAACCGGGGGTTATCTGTGGTGTAACCCCACGATCTTTGGCTGTCCACCGTATTGTTTGTAGCGAAATTCTTTAATCGATTATTTTGCGGATTTCTCTGTATTACAGATATAGACAACGGAAACCTTCACTATTCTTGTGCGAATACCAATTCATTAAATCGCGTTTGTAAAAAGGAATTATCCCGACAGGTTTTATTGGAAAAATGAAAATACCAAATTACTCACCAACAGTGGTATAACGTACGTAGGTTTCTTGATTGTCCATCATTGCGTCAACGGCTTGTTTTTCACAATACAACGCTGTTATGACTGCAATACTGGGTTGACGTGACGAACTCAACGTTGGCATCTGTTTTACTACCTGTCGGGATCATAGAAAGTTTTGATTGTATGTGACTGGAAAATTAAAGGCACTAATTGTTATGTCGATTTAAGTCATCGTGGCCTAAAGGATAAGACTGTACATTCGTATCGAGCGATGCGACTGTGCCGATGTTCGAATCCCGCAGGCAAGTACCAATTTTTTTAACGAAATACGTACTTACCCAAAATTCACGAATATCTTCAACAAAGAAGGAATAAAATCGTGTAATAAAAATTAAACCCGCATAAATTCTAATTTGCGTAATTACTGGTGGTAGGATGTGTTGTGGTTGTGAGGTAGGTACCACCACCCTGCCTACTTTCTGCCGTGAAGCAGTAATATTTTTCGGTTTGAAAGGCATCCGTTTGTATTGTAAAAACGGAGACCACTTAACATCAGGTCTGCCGTGAGCTAGTCCACTTATTTTAGCAATAAAAAAAGATCAATTTAACTTTACTGAGCTATATTCATTATTTTATTACTCCTAAAACCAGCTTCGCATTAGTTTAGTTCAATATGTACGCTTTTTAATATAAAAACAAATATTTTATTAACTAAAGGGTTTATAATAATTTGAATAGCTCAATAAGTTCTCATAGACTTTTGATATATTACAGAATAGTTATTCGATTAGCAATGTTAATCTAACGAAGCGTGGTGCCTAATGTACACGTGGTTCAATCAAATTTTCATACTAAGTACGAGGGTACGTTTTTAGGTTTGCGAAATGAGAAGGTTGGAGGGGGATAATGAGCATATCACTAGAATCGTAACGTGTTTGGTGACTCAGAATTAATTAATACGAGGTTTCATTGTTATTAGACAATTAGTCTTTAAGCTATCGTCAACTAAGCAACATAATCGGGTGTGAAAAGTGTAACATGGATAAAATCGAATATCGTACCGTAAAGTTCCTTACCAAGTTAGGAAAATCAGTTCCGACCGTACTGAATGAGATGTCTTCGGTTTACGGCGACTCTTTCCCAGGAAAAACCATTGTGTACAAGTGGCACAGTTTATTTAAACAAGGAAGGAAATTACTTGAAGACGACCCGAGGCATCGCATGCAGGTGACGACGCCAGAACTTATCCAAAAAGTGGAAAAAATTGTACTCGACGATGCTCGACTAAAAAGAAACAACTCGCAGAAATTGTTGGAGTATCAGATACAACTATTTTTAAAATACTGCACGATCTTGGCATGACTAAGGTCAGTGCAAGATAGGTGCCGAGAATGCCCACACCGCCGCAATGAAAATAGTGCGTTGAATGTTACGTTAATTTTTGGACCTCTGCAATGGTGTATTGTGTAGAATTATTACTGGATACGAAAGCTGGGTTCATCATTATGAACCTGTCGAAACAAGAATATGCAGTGAATTGCAGTGGCATAAAAAGGATACAGCACCACCCAAAAAGTTTAAGGTGTCACAGTCAGCTGTGAAACTCATGGCAACAATCTTTTGGGACTCAGAAGGAATATTATTGATCGATTTTAAAGATAAAGGTGTTTCTACATATAGCTGGAGAATACTACGCTTCAAAATTGGAGCGATTAAAAGAAGCTATTAAAGAGAAAAGACGGGAAAAATTTACGAAGGGTGTACTGCTTTTCTACGACAACGCACCCATTGACAAGAACCCCGTTGGGTTGGCTGCCCTGCATGAGGTGGGCTTCGATATTTTGAGTCACCCACCCTACAGCCAGGACCTGGTCCCGAGTGATAATTACCTGTTGCCAAAAATAAAAAAAGAGCTGCGGGGTAAGAATTTTACTACCGATGATGAAGTCAGAAAGCAGTTTCGGCGTATTTTGAAGATAAAAATACAATATTTTTTTATGAGGGTATAGATAAGTTTGTTGAAAGATCTGAAAAATGTATTCGTCTTGTAGGTGAATATATTGAAAAGGAAAAATAATTTGATTTTGTTTTTATTTCTACCCTATATCCCCCATTCCGCGAATATAAAAACGCCCCCTCGTACTTAATTTTTAACTACTTTTCGGCCTTGGAGTTCCTCGTAGTGTACTAAGCCCTGGGCTTAGAGGCAAAATGGTCGCTTCATTAATTTGACTATGCCGAGGAAATTCAAACTACCCTTTGAAAAATTTTATTCATGAAAGTCCGGCGTATAATGTAGAGAAATAATCGCTATATATTCTTACCTGTGTATCTACGCTATGTTGACGAACATAAACACCTTCGGACATAGCCCGAGTGAGGCCTTTTTCTTCTAAAGATTCCAATGCATCCTTCACATCTGCTTTCGACCATTTGGCGGCACTGTTATAATATATAATATAATGGTAGTATTACAAAAACAATTTATGGTTAATTACTTCAATACCATAATGGTCTGTTGTCAATTAAAATATTAAAGTAGACATGGACATTCGAAATTGAACGCATGACTGTGTTGCGCAGAAACACACAAGTCGGCGAACTGGCGTAATATCATAAGACCTTTTAGGTTTTATTAAAAAGGCAGGGACTGGAGTGGATTAATTTGATGATAATTAAAACTAAATTTGTAAATATTATAAATTTAAGGGATAACATCTTCTTAGATAGAATGTATAATAAATACATCATTCTATGTCGTAACTTGCATTTTGGGCTAAATCACTTTGTACCATATTATATTATTTAAGTAAGACTCTGGTGTAAAGTTGGGTTTTTCAAGTTACGATAATTCCGATTTCTTCCGTCGATATATAATTTATTTTTCATGTATGTCATGTAACTGTTTATTATTTTTATATAATAAAAATAAATTATTATTTTTTTATGTTATATATCTATATTATTATGTACTTATTTTTTTTTTTGTTTGGTTGTTTATGGTTCATAGCGTTTATGGTTCCATTTATGGAACCATTTATGGTTCATAGCGTTATCCACCCCCTGACATGAAGTCGAAGTGTCAATTGTATTGTACGTCGGGACAGCCTCGAGGGGCTATTCCAGCTACGCACGATTTGGTGGGTGACCTCACGGGGCTTAACCTGGGAGTACTTACTAACATCTACCCTAGGAAGAATAGGGTTTCGCTGAATCTACCACCCGAAAGGACTCGCGACCCACTGAGAAGATCCAGCGAGAAACCCAGTGGGTTGTTGTGTCTATGTCGCCATTCGACGAGTTTGACGAGAACGGTGACCTGTTCTTGGAGTACATAAAAAACCCGACGTGTTTAGTGCGACGGTGGCTTTGAGTCGCCCCGTTGCCTGGGTCGGAGATGTACTTCGAGACGACCACGATAAGAGAGTTATCGTGACGCACCGCATTCTCGAAGAACAACAATTGTGTTCATTACTATACGTACATACTTCGTTTTTAATACGTTTTTATTAGTTTCAGACGTATGTAACGGAATCTTTGAACATGATTTTGACTCCCTTCAAAACGTCGGATTAACTCGAAATTTGGTGTACTTATTAAGGACCGATGACAATTCAATACTTAAAAAAAATTTGAAAAAAAATGTTGAAAAAAATGAAATTCAATTAAAAAATGAAAAATAAATAATAGTTTAAAAAAACTAACAAAATACGATTTCATAGAAAATCCTACTAAAAAATAGAAAATAAATTTTAATAAGCTTGAATTAAAAATAGTGTAAGAAAAAATGATTTTATTGTAAACAAACCGTGGGGTGCATGGTATCAGTACATAGTTATAAATATTTTATGAACAGATATGAGTAGAAGGGTCATTTTGATAATATCCTGAAAAGCGTATTTTGTTAGTTTTTTTAAACTATTGTTTATTTTTCATGAGACCTTAAAAAGCATCAGTCAAAACTGGATTCAATAGATATACATAGTAATAGATCGCTTTTTGTAAAGGTTAAATGGATCAGTCTTTTCTTGATATCGTATAGACATCAACAAAACTATGTATCAAAAATTATTTAATATATATATTAAATGCAAAACTTACGAGACAAAATCATCCACAGATAAGGGGTTGGGATATGCGTTTTCTATCATATCCAGCACTCTTTGTTCTGATATTAGTGGTGTTTGATTTATGATACTGTCATCGATGTATGCTGAAAATTAATGAAAGATAAGAAAAATTCGACCAAATAAAATTTCGTTTTCAATTTTTTCAGCTTTTTTTACAGCGCAGTACATACATACATACATGCTTGATCTATTTTTGAAATTTACTTTAGCAGTAAGAAACATAGTAAAATATCAAAAACGTTCCGTAGTGCGGTATAGCCAACAGCGTTTCATGAGTTAGATCAAAATTAAAATCTTATTTCGTGTTAAATATTAGTTCAAATAGCAACACGCTTGAGTTCTGTGCAATGATGATTCGATAAAGAAATAATGAAGTTTTCAAATTCGATATTTTTTTTTATTGCCCTTGTAAGCAGACGGGCATACGGCCCACCTGATGGTGAATTGTTACCGTCGCCCATGGACTTCAGCAATGCCAGGGGCAGAGCCAAGCCGCTGCCTACCGCAGATAAATAAATAAAGTGTTGCAGTAAAGAAGTATTATCATGGTTAAATGAATTTCAACTGCAGGACTTCTAACGATAATTGTAAACTACCACACTAGAAGCAGTGGCGTAGCGAGGGGCGGGCACGGAGACATCAATCGGCATCATACCCCGGCGCTACTCACAAAGGTGCGCCAAATGGCCCTTAAAAATAAAAATTGCCGGAATAATTTTTATTTTTATTATAATCGCAAACTGGAAAATATATTTTAAATTTATTGCCAGTGTAATATAATAAATATAAATTCGTAAATGAAAAGGAAAAAAGGAACACTAATAGTCTAAATATGGACGCTGAAAAGGTATTGTGCCCCGGGCGCGAGTTAAGCTCGCTACGCCACTGATTAGCTGACTGATCGGCTAAGCAATTGCGTTCTATTTGATAAAATAATTGACTAGTTTTGATTTTTTTAAATTAACGATTCTACATGTTTGTCATTCCATTTGCGACGCGCCATATCAGTTCGTGTTCGGCAGTAGCCAGGCCAGTGAATGTTTCACTGGCTAAATTACCGATGCAACTTTATTGAAACATTGTTGTTGAATATATATATTGCTTAGATGGATGGACGAGCTCACAGCCCACCTGGTGTTAGGTGGTTCCTGGAGCCCATAGACATCTACAACGTAAATGCGCCACCCACCTTGAAATATAAGTTCTAAAATCTCAGTATAGTTACAACGGCTGCCCTACCCTTCAGAGCGAAACGCATTACTGCTTCACGGCAGAAATAGGCAGGGTGGTGGTACCTACTCGCTCGGACTCACAAGAGGTCCTACCACCAGTAAAAAAATTAAATTTAGTACATAGATTTTAAACGATCTTTTAAATTGAAAACTATACGGATATTAAATTTAATGTTCATGTCCCCCGTCCCTTAGTAGGTATTTGCAAAATAATCAAATGTACGTCCGGATCAGTTACTGAATTTAATAATTTCCTAATATCTAAAGATTTTCTAACATGTATATACCAATTTATATATATTTTATAACAAAATACGACACAATTATATGACTTTATCTCACTTTTGCAATATTGTAAAATTATTAAATAATACAATATTTTTTTTGCAAAAAATAGCTTCTAAACATCTAATAGGCACTAAGAATAAGAAGAAGAATTTCAGAACGTTAATTAAATTTTGAAAACAGAGTGATATTTTATAAATAGCTAATGTATGTATAGACGTGAAATTTAATGTTAGTGACATTAATTTGACTAGTGCGAAATAATGTACAATTGTATCTATATAAACAACAATTAAAAAAAACTAAATATATATAAATTGATACTAATAAACTGATAATTGAACATTTAATAAAACCATGCAATTTCGATATATAAAAACGAATTGGTACATACAGCCATTGGTAAAGTTGTATATTACACTCTTACTCGTTAATATTCCATTGATTTCTGCATGATAAAATTAAACATAGCTTGTTTACTTATCATAAATATTTAAAATATGCATTTAAAATTATGTATAATATACAGAAACTATTATCAGGAAATAAGTTTATTATGATACATTCAATTTTAAAAATATAATTTTTTTTTTTTTTTAATGATATTTGAAATCAATTAATTTTACCAATACCTATTGAAAAAAGAACAAACCTGGTGGTGGTGATGCATATCCTTCTTGTCTTAATTCTACTTCAAGCATTTTCAGTTGTTGATATTTGTGTTGCATTAATTTCATTATTTTTTTTATGTATCCTACATAATCTGAAAACCGAAAAAATACAAAATTATTTTAAAAAAATATATATATTATTATAAATAATAAGAATTTTAATTCATAATGTTTTTTTGTACAATGTACCTTAAGTTTGGTTTAGTTTTAGTTTACATAGTTAGTTTAGTACCTATCAAGTTTAGTTAAAAGTTCTAATCCAAATTCAAAATATGCACACTACATATCTAAATAGTTAATGATCATCACTGTTTGTATTTTAATCGACTCTCAGACTATTTATGGAACCCAGAATTGAATATATGGTTGCACTTAGTATTTCATAAAATGATGTTACAGCTCTTGGTTTTCCCACTAGTCAATAGATATAAATAAAAACAGTGGCTAAAAAACAAACAGATTGGCTAAAAAAAAGAAGAGTTACGAAAACTAGAAAGATAAGTTATGATAAGAAAAGTTATTCAAAATAATTTAGTGCTGTCAATTAAAAGATTGACCTCTTTAGTTGATCAGAGATCAGGCAGGTTCTTGTATATGTGTAACCAGAAGTCTCTACTATTCGCATTACACAGAACAGATTTGTTTATGAAATCATGTTGTAAAATAATTAATCTTTAACATAATATAATTTAATAATAAAAATAAAATGTTAGAGGTAAGTAACGTAATGATATTATTAACAAGAGATTCATTTAACTAAACAATACCTTTAGGAAAATCTTGAGGACTGACAAGTTCTCTGAAAAAGGCCTGGGCTTCATAAGGCCTTTCGTTTGGAGTCATCTGAGGTTTAAACCAGAACCTTAGAGCACGTGCTTCACGTGTGTGGGTTCCAGTAGCTCCCGATACCAAATAAACATAGAATTCCAATTGTGCATGACAAGGTTCGGAAACGCCATTTTCTAAAAAAATAATTTTCTGTACTGTGACTATTACTACTATGAATGGATAGAGCCTAGTCCCTGCATTTATAAATGGGTGTATGAGTTCATCGGGTGTGTTAGCCACGAGACAAAGTACATTTCCAACTCATAGTTCAACATATTTGAACTTTCATGAACACCTTATGGTAACAAGAGTACAATAACTTGTTCTTTTAAAAATGTCATTTTTATGGATTTCACAGCAATAAACTGATGAATGATGAATATGTCCCTGATATTGCAAACATTCTTACTTATAGGCAGACGGCCCACCTGATAGTGAGTAGTCGTGGTGACTATTGGCCATGGACTTCAGCAATGCCTATCATTAAGTACTCTCCACAAGTCTTGTTTGAAGAAAAAAGATATCTGAAAACGCACTGTGGATGAACGCAGCAGCTCTAGGTAGTATGTATGAACTCTACTTTGGTGGCAGGCAGTGCCATGGTAAAAATGAGATAATGGGATCAACTCAAAGAATTCCTCAGAGCATTCCCCATGGAACAAACAAAATACAGAGAGAAGCAAAGTCCCTCTGTAGACCCAGAGGTTCCAATAGTCTGTTCCTGTAGTATATTCATTGCAACATACCATAGCAGGAGAGACTTTTGGTGTTTCTTTGAAATCATCCCTTTTTGGTGCTATGATTTACATTTTATTACCATTTACATGTACACTTAAACTTTAGATGTTCAAATACCAAAAAGATAAAAGTACCACCTTTTATTTCTTTTTTCTGAATTTTCATAATAGCTTTAATAAAGTTAAGTACTGTGTAAAAATTAAGAAAAGTATTGTTTGCAGTTTTTTCTTTATACCAAGAAAGGGTGCTTATCAGTTCTTTTTTTTAATTAGCATAGGATATACTATGTTATTACTCAAAACATGTCAAAACAAAAAAAAATCATAATGCTTTTAAAATGAAACCTTAGTAGCTGAATTTCATATATTTAATTAATAATTATCTTTATGAATTAAATATCTATTTTTGTTAGTGGTTGTAAGCTTTAAAACATATACAGACATGACTTGCATGAACTTACTGTACTGCACTTGTTGGGCCTTGACATTTCTAATATAAAGTTCATGACAGTATAACATAATGTTCTATTTAAAGACATCGCCTCTAGCCAAAATTATTTGAAAACAATAGTGTACCACATAACCACCTATAAATTATATTTGCATTAATAAAACTCAATTTTGTTTTTATTTTAGTAAAGTTTATTGAATTTCGTAATCGTTAAATTAATCAGAATTAGTGCATCAGTTATGAATATTATCTCCAATAATTTTTTTACAACAAGACTTTAAATTGTTGTTTTAATGGTATCTATTTTATTTATTGAAAATAATAAAACAGTCACATTAAATATTTACAAAGTTAAACCATACCATTAAGGACAAATACTACTGTTTTCCTCTTGTGATAATTTTAAACCTCATTCAATAGTTTTCAAATATCTGTTTTTCTATATTATTATTTCATAAGGATATTAAATATATCCTATAACCACAATGATAAACCGAAACATGCATTGTCAAACATAGTTACCATAAGTTTCTTGCTTGTTGATAATAATACCAGTGTGATCACCACCAGCTATATGTATTTTGTCACTTGCTTCTGGTTCTACAGCTTTCCTTTCAACTACCAATGTTGTGGAATTGGCCGTTTTACATTTAGGTGTCATTATCACCTTTTCTTCAACTTCGGCCATGGTAACAGCTAGTCAATGAAATTAAATTTAAGTATGATTAGTCCATTAGGTAAGAAGTTGCGATGACTCACACTTGACATCTCCAATGCTTATGTCGGTATCGAAAACTTGAATGAATCAAAACAACCCAAGTGCTTGAGATGATGTTAGATCGAACTTTCACAAGAAAAACTTTTAGTAAATTTTGTGTAAAAAATTTGCAAGTACTCATAATATACCACTGTTTAAGTTTTATGACAATGTGTACGAATTTAACGGCGTATATATAATTCACATTACATAGTTTAGCTACTATAAATAGTCAAAGTAAATTGTCAAACTTAACTTTTATAATAACTCGAATACATATTAAATACACATATCTTTGCTCGTGATTATACACACCTTAAATTTACTGTTTTCAATATATTAGCCGATGTTCTCTGTTCTTCCACTTTAAGCTATGGCTTAATGCCTTGGACTTCTAATTGTAGGTTTTTATTTTTATTTTTCTTTCGTTTAGAGGTGAAGTTATTTGGCCGTTGGAATCTGCCAGTTTGACATTTTGACATATCATTTTTTGTTGGTACTATCACTGTCGAAGCAAAAGAAACATAGTCCATACTATGTCTATACCCTTTTTAGTCATTTTGGGTACCGCCACTAGATTCAATGACTCAGCCCGACGATATACACATACGGTATGGAAAGGTTTTTGTTTTTAATTTTAAAAATAAAGGTAAATAAAGTTCCGTATGAAATAATTGAGTTCACGAAGTGTTCATAAAAAATATGGACATCTGTCCCAAGTGGTCTGTTCCATTCTACCCGCCGCTATCAGTCTATATATGATCATGGCACTTGCAACAACGTAAAAACATTGAAATATCATTAAACATAAAATTAAAGAATAGTATTTATAAAGAATAGTATGTTTTATGTATGTTTGTAATAAGAGAAAATCTTTGAATATAAGGTTTTATTAAGCTAAAATTAACAGTAAAATTTGCTTTGATTACATTATATAGACTGACAAATAACTAATAAAACAGACTGACAATGACGTCAACTTATGGCTGATAATTTCAATAAGAAGTTTACATCAATGTTTATTGCCGATAGAAAAAGAAAATATTCTTTTGGATATATTATAAGTTCTTCACTAGCATAACCCTAAATCCATACTTTTAATTTTTAAGAAAGTCTGCTGGTTTGCCCTTCTTTCACATTGAAACGAAGCAATGGATTGACGCAATTTTTTTTAAAATTGCTGCTGTTTGGTCAGGAGTGACATAGGCTACCTTTTATCTCAAAATATCTTATTCCCACAAAATTTACACAAACACTTTTCATTGATCGTGCGGGCGAAGCGACGAGTATCAGCCTTTTTTATTGCTTAGATGGGTGGACGAGCTTAGTGACCCACCTGGTGTGAAAGGGTTACCGGAGCTCATAGACATCTACAACGTAAATGCCACCACCTACCTTGAGATATGAGTTCTAAGGTCTCAGTACAGTACAACGCATTATGTACTACTTCAGAAACAGAAACGCATTACTGCGTAACGGCAGAAATAAGTAGGGTGGTGGTACCTACCCGTGCGGACTCACAAGACGTCCTACCACAAGTAATTATAATTTTGTGGATTTAATTTTTATTACATGATGTTATTTCTTCACCGTGGAAGTCAATCGTAAACATTTGTTAAGTAGATACGTATTTCATTAGAAAAATCAGCACTTGCCTGCCGGATCCGAACACCGTTGCATCGCTGGATACGAATGTAATGGGCGTCTTATCTTTTAGGCCACGACGATAGACATGTGTAAGTAATGCGAGTGATATTACTCCGGTAATATTACTCTACGATGTAATGCAACATCACACATTACGCGAAGGAAACAAACATCACACTATCACCCACAGAACACTATTACTTCTAGCGAAGCTATCACCCAACATGTTTCTTTCTTTGTCGTGTAATGTTGCTGGATACACGAACAGAACCGAGCGAGCGAGACAGACCGATCTACGCAAAATAAATGAGCAAGCGACACGGAATTATTCCTAGTGATTTTGAACCGTATGCCCTGGCCGCTAGGTACATTTTTATACCTATGGTACGTCTGAATTTTAATATATCAAATACTAAATCAAATTATATTAAGTAAAAAATAAAATTATTATATTATTAAATAAGTCAATCTCTGTCAAGTAATATAACAGTGTATTACAATCATAGACCTATATAGTAGGGACACGACATATTGTTCTATACGTACAATTGCTTATATAAATAGCACCCATTTTGAAGGCACACACATAAACATATATCTATCTCGTTCTTACTCAGCACTTTAACTCGCAAGAAAACAATATAACAGTATTTCAGTGCGTACATAAAATGAAACATGAATATACGTAAATGTCTCCGTCTCCGTCNTCAACACAAAAAAAAAAAAAAAAAAAAAAAAAAAAAAAAAAAAAAAAAAAAAAAAAAAAAAAAAAAATGTTCTGTAGGTGTTTTGTTTTATCAGACGGTCCCTTGATAAGTTTAAAATTTGCGTGCGGTGCGGTAGTGCGGTGCACCTTCCTTGAGGTGCGCTGCGGTAGTGTGTTACGGACTTTAGAGTCAGCAAAACAATTAAAATAGATTGTAATAGTCTAAGAAAAACACGTACTCCAAATACGATAACATTCAGCATGCTAGAAATGGGCTGATGGCACTGTACTATGCCATATCTTTATGTTTTGCGGCAAACGACAACTTTATAAAATCAGTGTAGCAAATTTTAAAAATCGTCATATCGTTTACTTGGAAAATTTGAAGCACGAACTCTTAGATTTCACATAATATCTAAATCACATAATCTTTGCACATAACAATATACTTACTTCCTATTAAAGTATAAATTCTACAAATACATTCATACTCAACAATATTTAAAATAAAATAAGCCAAGAACGTTTATCGATAAAACCTAGTAACATTAAAATCTTCTGGGCAGCACTAAAACCGCCATGTTTTGTGGCCAGATGACGTCACAGTGGCACGATTTTTTTGTTGACGTTTCATTTCCATAGGTTTCCTACTTCAGTGATTACAATACAAAGTATGAACACATCACTTATGTAATGATTCGGGTGTATAGATACAATGTATTCGTCACAGTATCTATTGAACGCACCGAGTAATGTTAAGAGTGATGTGTAATGTTTTCGAGTAATATCACCTGTCTGTAAAAGTGATGTCATATCACATTACATTGAGAAGTGATGTTTTGCGCAAGTCTAATGACTTGGCAAGGGAAACACGAGAACTTCTATCAACTGTGTAACATCTCGTCACCGCGATTCAGGATTTGTTGAATTTACGAGGAGTGACATCTGTTGATAACAAACTAAATAGAAATAAAATAAACATGGCGCGGAACGGAAGAAATTAAGATGGCGCGTAACCGAAAAACGTTACATCCGTTTTTTCCTCCCTACGTCGATAAAGAAGTTTCACTTCAAAAATAAACATAAGCCTATGAAATTAATGTAGTGTTCTGTCGCTGATTCGTAATAATTATCTTATATATCTGAACAGGTGACTTTTATCTGAACAGGAAAAATCATCTGAAAGGCTTTTACCGGGACCACGAGGAACGAAGTTGTAATTTCCATACTGAAAAAAAAAAAAAATTTTTAATTTTCTATGGTATGGTATCGTAGCATAGACCTATATAGTAGGGACACGACATATTGTTCTATACGTACAATTGCTTATATAAATAGCAGCCATTTTGAAGGCACATACATAAACATATATCTATCTCGTTCTTACTCAGCACTTTAACTCGCAGGAAAACAATATAACAGTATTTCAGTGCGTACATAAAATGAAACATGAATATACGTAAATATCTCCGTCTCCGTCTAATGAGGCCGAAAATCCGCCATGTTTAGCGCGCCAAATGTCATTGTCACGTCAGTTCGGCCGTCTGTTTTGGGTTGTACATTATTTATTGACTTTGATATCGATTTAATATGATTGATTATATAAAATTTCATAATTTATCATGCTTAAAACATACAAAAATAATAATTAAAACGTATTTTATAGGATCTCAAGAAAGTCGATGCCCTAAAACTATTATCTATATGTATTTAAATTCATTATGGAGCCCTCATCCGAAAAATCCATTTTTCGGTCGGAATCTATTGATCATGACACTAATCATAAATACCACTTTAAAATATGTCATCAAAACATATTTAGACATTCTGTTTAGATATTTCGGGAAAAAGGCTACCGACAAAATCTCTTCGGAACTATTTAAATAAAATAGTTTTATTCCGCAGTGAGTAAAACACTATTGTAAATTTGTTAAATATTTAATAATTAAGTGATTTTAGAGAGGAAGTCACAAGGAATGACGTTTGTAATTAATGAATAAATGTTCTGTAGGTGTTTTTTTTTTCACGCGGTCCCTTGATAAGTTTAAAATTTGAATCACTCTCAAGCGAAAGTGATTCAAATGGTGCGGCGCACCTTCCTTGGGGTGCGCTGCGGTAGTATGTTACGGACTTTAGAGTCAGCAAAACAATTAAAATAGATTGTAATAGTCTAAGAAAAACACGTACTCAAAATACGATAACATTTAGCATGCTAGAAATGGGCTGATGGCTTTGAACTACGCCATATCTTTATGTTTTGCGACAAACGACAACTTTATAAAATCAGTGTAGCAACTTTTAAAAATCATCATATCGTTTACTTGGCAAATTCGAAGGACGAACTTGTCTTAGATTTCACCCATCTAAATCATATCATATTTGCACATAACAATATACCTACTTACTTCCCATTAAAGTATAAATTCTACAAATAAATAATACTCAACAATATTTAAAATAAAATGAGCCAAGAACGTTTATCGATAAAACCTGATAACATTGAAATCTTTTGTACAGCACTAAAGCCGCCATGTTTTGTGGCCAGATGACGTCACACTGGCACGAAATTTTGGTTGACGTTTCATTTCCATAGGTTTCCTACTTCATTGTATCGTAGCGTATTCGGTAATATCTATGGCTGGAACTTTATGGCGGAAAAGCGAGGAGTGAAATTGTGTGATTTGTTTTATTTTGTCTATTTAGTGTTTCTTCAGTTTTTAATACGTAATAACGGTGGTTTACTGTTTAGTATCTGTGAAAGTGTACAAATGTGGGAAAATAAAACAAAGTTGCTAAACGTAACTTCTCTGGATTCTCCAAAAAGTCCACTGAAAAGTCTCAGAAAATGACCATCATTTTACTGAGATTATGTTCCATCCTATATCATCTCATCTCATTTCATATGACTTTAATTCATTTCGTAATATAATTTTTCATATGAAATAGCTTTATGGTATGATATCTTTGCCTTTCCATTTGGAAAAATAAAACTACTACGACTATTATCTATGGGTAGGAATTATTTCAGAGAATATATAGAGCAAACAAGGCTGTATGGGCTTAGATCCCCTTGCCTTTTCTAACAAGGAAAAATTGTACCAAAAAAAAAAATATCTATGGGTAGTACTTTTTGGCGGGAATGCGAAGTGTCAAGTTGTGCGATTTGATTTAATTTGTCTATTTTGCGTTTCTTCAGGTTTAAATGTGTAATAACGTCGATTTATTAACTGTTTAGTATCTGTGAAAGTGCACATATGTGGGAAAATGAAACAAAGCTGTTGGACGTAACTTCTCAGGATCCTCCAAAAAGTCCACTGAAAAAATCTCAGAAAACGACCATCATTTTACTGAGATCATATTTCATCCCATATCATCTCATCTCATTTCATTTAATTTCATGCCAGTTGATTAATTTCTCAAATTCTTCATTACATTTCACTCCATTTTATCATTTTTCATAAAAATATCCCATATCATATCATCCCATTTCAATTAATTTCATTTCATTTCATGTCATGTCATGTTTCATATTAAATTAATCAGCTTCATTTTATAATATCATATTTCATAAAAATATATATAAAAGATTAGACTATATGGTGTGAAACCTTTGCCTTTCCATTTGGAAAATTAAAACTACTACTACTATCTATGGATAGGTACGATATTTTGTACGGCAGGTAAAGTGCTATTTTCAATCGGTAAAATCTGTTTGTGGACAATATGTAGTCATGACAACAGCAGGAATACAGTATTTTGGTGTTGTTTTAATCCTGAATATTTTTTCTCTCTAAAGCAATGATAATTTACAATATTTGGACAGTTTTACAATGGTACGTGAGACCAATTTTAAAATGGTTTTTGAGAAAAACGACTCGTCTATGTGAATTGCAAAGAATATGTTATGGTGATATCGCGGGAGCTCAAAGAACGCGTAACGTGGAAAAATCATTGTCATTATCTCGTACCAAAGATGTGAAGGAAGTAATTTCGTTTCTAGATAGAGTCGTTTTAGAAAAACAGTTTGTGCCTAACAACTTTCACAATTTATTGGATCCATCAATTTCAATAATTATGAGAGTGAAGAAAATCAACCCAAGATTACACAGTGCTTTTATATCTCCATTTAGAAGTTGCTTAGAACAAATCTGGAGCTATAAAAATTTAGTAATTGAAGTTGAAGAACTGAGAACAATACAATTTGATAGTAACAACATAGAACATGAAGAGAAACTGTTAAAATTGTGGTCTTTACTTGTGCCTGATGAAACACTTGAATCACGGATTTCAAAACAATGGCAATATATTGGATTCCAGGTATACAATATGTAATAGATATCTTAATATACAGTGGTTAGAAGACTAAATATTTCTGTATACTCATTTTTGGTAACATTTATTTTTAGGGCGATGATCCCAAAACGGATTTTCGAGGAATGGGCTTGCTTGGATTGGAAAATCTCTTATTTTTTGCATCACAATATCCAAGAGCATCAAGTCATGTACTGAGCCACTCACTACACCCTACATATGGATATACTTTTGCTATTGTTGGTATAAATTTAACAGCAATGGCATATTATCTACTTAAGGATGGTTGTGCTAAAACATACATGTTCAATGCCAAGCAATACTTACCTAATTTAAATTTATTTCATAGATTTTATTGTTTTCTTTTTTATGAATTTGATAAAATGTGGATTGAGTCAAAACCTCAAAATATAATGGAATTTTCAGTAATTTTCAAAAAGTTTGAAAATGCAATTCGTACAGAATTAGCAGATCCTGCCTCAGTATTTAGAATAAACATTGAGGTAGATATAGTTTAAATTTTTGCTGAGCTTAGCACCATTGTTACTAGCAAAGGATGAGGACCAAATATTAAATGTTACATTTATGATAGACAGTTAAATGTATTTAAGATCAATACAAAATCACATGCATTCATAATATTAATAGTTATAACATCATGATACTGAAAAGCACATAGGTGACATAGTTTGAGATACAAAATATAGTGTTTTATGTTTAAATTCACTCTTATGGTTCTATTTAACATTTCCCAGATTTTATTAGAATACATTAAATTTTGTCACAAAAAATTTATGTTTCAGAGTAGATGTTTTTATAACACCATAAAGTAATATTGAAAAAAACCTTGTTTGCAACTAACATGGAAGGCACTGATCAGTTTGCTGATAGTCACTAAGGTTTTTTTTAATTCTTTAATATAGCAACTTTCTGTTTTTAATGGTTTTTTGTAGTCATTTTAGAGGTAATTGGGTAATTTTCAATCACATATTCCTAGTTTGTGCATTGTTTGTTTTAATTAGAATTAAGAACATAAAAATAGTGCTTCAACCAAACAAGTATTCATGTCCTAAGCAACAGATCTAAATATCATCAATTTGAAAATTACCTTATCTTCAATTACCATTGACAAGTTCTATCAGCACAGTATTTGGGTAGAAAAAAATAATGTTGACAGAACAGAATAAGGTCCAAAAAACAGTTTGTTTTTTACATAATTGCAAAAGAAAGAAGCGAATCAGAAATACTAAATTTTTCCTAACTAGTAGACCTTATCTATCTGCTGACAATGCTCATCCTGTTGTGTTTGGTGTTTTATTCTTTCAAGCGTTATTGTTCACAAGATCTGGAATGGTTCTCTACCAGCTACCTTCACTTTAAACTTTCTCTAATTAGGAAATGAATATTATAATATTTTGTTCATTTCCTCAATGATTTACGCTGTGTAGACACTATAACTAAATGAATTTTAAAACATCATATATTCTGAAAAATATTTATTTGTTGTATTTGTTAAAATATAAAATTTGAATAAATCTTAAATATACATACATCCTTACAAACAAAAAATTTTAAACAATTTTACAATAGCACCTGCGCTTCTTTAATAAAAAAAATAAACCCACATATTTGTATTGTTTTTTTTACCTTACAAACAGGACGGAAAAGTTATCAAACACATGACTTTTTAAATGCATTAAGAATTATTTCACAAAAAAATAGGTTTTCTTATTTACGTTTCTTATCTTTTTTTGTTTCCTTTAGTGGCTTTGATCTTCCTGCTTTAATAATTGCAATTAAAGCTGTCAAAGCTACCAATCCAAAACCAGCTATTCCTATTTGCCATATCCATGGGTGTTCTGTGAGTATATTGAGACCGAATGCTATTCCCCATTTCAGCATTTCTACACACCAATTCACCACATCATCACTGTAATAACATAATTAAAACAGAACTTGTCATATTTAGAATCTTAAATTATCCAGTGGGAAAATATTTTTAGCTTTAGAAGATCAATTAGTGTTTTTATTTTAAAATTTATCAAGAAATATCTCAGAATACATAACTTATAGTAGTACAGCGATGCTATTGTATAATTTTAATTAAAAATAAAAACGAGTGTCGATTTCACAAAATTACATTTCTTCATAAGATTTCGATCTCAAATCTCAACGTATGTGGCGACGCTGTGATGTTTATGGGCACCAGTGATCACTTAACAATTAAAACAACATTATATGATTGGAAATTAGGTAAAGCGCTCTAGGAATGTGTATTATTTGAATACTACTATTAACTAGCCAATAAATAAGTATTTACTTACAATGGTGAGGCAAGAACTGCAACAGGTTCTCCTTTAGAGTTTTTATACCAATCTTGAGCAAATGCAACAAAAGATTTCACATCATTTTTTGGCAAGTCATATCTGTACACTTTGCCAAGGCGAAACCTATAATTTATTTTTTACGAAATTAATTATTACCTTTGGTTCTTTTGATTTATTGTTTTATATTGAATACTTAGGAAGTACTCATAGCAATTGTTAGAGATGATGCTAAACTTCTTTTACCACCGCGCCCCTTGCTGTCACGGCAGTTTCGTCCCTACTACGCGTAATCGACGTGTACATCCAGAACAACTTTCTCTAGAATAGACTTCCTTATATCCTTGGGTTGGCCACAGCTTGGCTGTCATCTTGCATTACAGGCATCTTGATGTCCATGAGTGATGGCAATCACTAAATGGTTACAGATGGGGTTACCCTCTCCTGTCTTTAAAATATAAGTAATAAAAGAATAAAGTTTCATTATAAATGTTATACACTTTGACTTGAAAAATTTGGGATATGTACATTTTTCTTGGGATATGTATATTATGTTTATTTAATATTTTTTATTTTACATTAAATGTACCAATATGTGCAATGTGTAATGTTAATCTTCAGTTTTGAGCAATGTTAGTTGACTTGCTGAGAATGAGATTCCTAGAGTAAATCATTCAATTACTATTAAGAGCAAAAAATATGTTTTAAGTTTAAGATGTTTAAATGTTGCAGATCACCATGAGACTGAAATCGTAATTAGATTAATGCACTGCTTGTAATTAATAACATTAAAACTATAAATCAAGATTGTTTTGCACCAGAAACAGATAGGATGGTAGAATCCACTTCATAATGATAATTTTTAATTTTATATTAATTTAACTAGGCAGGGTTTAAATAATTTAATAAAAATGATTCATTATTATTATCTTTTACATAACATATTAGCACCTTATTCAGACTGATAAGACTCTCTAGCACTGGAAAATATAAAAACGATTATGTTAGTCATATACTTACAGAAGGAAAGCTGGCAATTTTCCAACATGAAATCTTTTAGCAGTGTTGACACCTGCTAAACTTGCATCAATGCGAGCAACATTTATTCTGCTCTTTAATGTTGCTCCAACACTTTCCCAAACAGCATGTAGCCTTTGGCATTCAACACAAGCTGCCCCATAACTGAAATGTGACTGAGAGAATCAATTAAGTTTTTTATTGCGGTGATGAGATGAGTGAAAAAGTTTACACCTGCAGCCAATCGGCATACCAATTCAAATCCTTATTTGAATTGGTTGCCAGAATCAAAGACACAACTCACATGAGGTTGAAGTCTCAACAGTATTGATAACAGCTGCCCCAAACTTTAAATAATGAGTTTTAATATTGATATTATCAGTTTCTTTTTCTTGCTTAGATGAACGGACGAGCTTATGTTAAGTGGTTGCTGGACTCCATAGACATCAACAATATAAATACCGCCACAAATGGGTGGCAGCATCTATTTACCTGTGTGGACTCAGAAGACATTTTCCAACCAGTAATTTTAGAAATTATAATTTTTGTAGGTTTCATTTTTATTAAACAATATTATTCCTTCACTGTTGAAGGCCACAATTACTTATTGTTATTATTTATAAGGAATGCAATATAATTGACAACTTACAACATGACAAACCAATCTCCTGTTGTTGCACCAGTAGCTGCTTGTGTCAAATGCTCAAATATTTTATCTGTTAGCTCTTTTACAGCTGGTGTTTGATTCTTCTCAAAAAAGCCATAGATTTCATTTTCATCAGCCTCACCTATATCAATTTAATATTAGATTAATGCAGAAGATTATAATTAATATTAAATAAGGTATAGATTTTCTGATGTAGTTTCATTACATGACTTGAGTCAGGACATAGCATTCATCTTGAAGGTCTGTACTAAGCATTCATTCTAAATATTGTAATCCCTTAAAGGGTCTATGGGGAAACTAGTTTTAAATGCAGTTGGTAAAGGGAATTGTATGTAGCATAAGAAGTTTATTATTTATAATTATAGTATTTGTTTAAATTATTCTCTAATTTTCTTGTTAGTTATACCAGTTTAAACTTACCACTGTATAAAAGTGCAACACCATGTCGATAAAATATAAGAGCTGGTTCTTTTGAAGGATTGTAAAGTCTAGCTAAATGACTATTTACAGTCTTAACGCTCATAGCATTTAAGTGTTTCTTAAAGTCTTCTTGTAAACTTTCTACATGCTGTTCCAGTTTCTTACATGTCTCACAATTTTGCTTAGCTGTAAAACGACAGAAATGGTAATTAATATCTAATATTCAACAATATTCATGATGTGATAATTTTATACATCTACAATTTATCTGAAAATATTAAGAGATTTCAATTAAATTGGGTTGGTAATTAAAGGAGTTTCTTGTGATTTCTGAAGGGGAGAAACAGATTTTAATTACATTTTAAAACTTATTTGCATTTTACTATGTAAATAGTCATAACCTAAAATTTCAGAAGTATTTTCCAGTAAATATGAGCATATTTTATCAGATAGTAAGTACTCACTGAATAAGACAATAAGCTTTTCTTTGTCTCTTATAAGTTCCAAAAGTTCATCATCACTTACATTGAGCAAACTTTGAGATCTTACATTAGTACACCAAAGTAAAAGGGATACAAACGGTATTACAAAATTCATTTTAATTTCAAATGGTAAAGGCAAGTTAAGTCCTTTAATATTTTTATAAGTATTTTTGAAGAAATAAATTTGTTAACTCTTTTTACTCATTAGCTATATAAAAAAACCATTTGTCACTTAACACAGGTCTAAAATTATTATGAGTACAAATTGTTTTAGTGGCTTTGTAGTTTCTGTGAAAGAAAATTATAATATTTTATCAATGTTCCTAAATAAATAAAAAAATCTAATTTTCTAATACTTTATGCACTCGTTATCAAGTTAGTATTAACTGGAACTTAACTAAAATTTAATTTAAGCTCTCAAAAGCTCAAAGTTTTGGTGGTGTGATATTAAAAAAAAAGACGTCAAATGTCAGGCTTAAACATTGTCTATGGACTCCTGTCTATGTCTGAAAAATAAAATATCTACATAGTGCAAAGTCACCCTATGCTCGATCTGAAAAGTTTGAGTGTATAAAACCGCTGCCTATTTCTGCCGCGAAGTAATGCAGCATTCTGCTTTGAAGGATGGGATGATGATGAAGTTAAATCTTTAAAACTGTGTACTTAGTGTGAGTTTTTGAAAGCGTAAAAGTTAACTCAAATTCGTATGGAGTTGGAACAGTGTCTCTAGCGGCAAATATAGGCAAACGTGAGAACTTTAAAAAAAATCGCATTAAGCACACTGAGCGGTTGGGGACTCCCGTCAAGAATGAAATTGCTTACTCACTAAAATATTTTTTGTTGGAGTTTGAATATGAAAGTAATGGCAGGCAACACTTGTTACATGTGAGGTTACAGTTTTCGAATATTGGAATGTTTATTTAAATGCTTAAAACAGATGATTGTCTTCTCTTCAGTCATGACTAGGACTTCTCATCTAGACACGGACAGTTTAACATCTTAGGGTTTTATAAAAATAAAATATTGTAAAGGTGTAATAGTGTACAAAGTGTTTGTAATATAATTATATTAACGGTGAAGCAGAGTGTTTTTAAATAGCTCCTCACCTACAGAACCCAATACCCACAAATATAACAGTCCACTGCGTGCTGGGCTCATAACCTGTTGGACTGTAAACTTGAGGGGATTGGGTTCTGGATATGTGACAAGTGTTGCCTGCCATTAGTTACACATACAAACTGCAACATTTTTGATGTAGCAAATTATTTCACTGTCTTTCTGTGATATAGTAAATAGCACAAACATTGTAAGAGATACTAAAGTAAAAAGCGAATAGTAAAGACAAATAGGGCCATTTTGGCGGGAACGTGAGGAGCGGAGCTGTGAAAATTATTTTATTTTGTTAATTTAGTGTTTCTCCAGGTTTGAATGTGCAATAATGGCGGCTTATTATCTGTTTATTATGCGTGAAAATGCATCAATTTTGTAAAATGAAACTAAGCCACTGGGGGTAGCTTCTCGTGTTCTTCGCGCAAATTCTCTGAAAAAGTCTCAGTAAATAATCATTATTTTACTGAGACTTCATCTCATTTCATCCCATCTCATCTCTTTTCATTTAATTTCATCCTTGGATGAAATAATAGTCCCTGAGGCGATCGTAGAGCCAGATAACGTCCGCATCATTCCTCACCTCGGGAAAGATACAGTTCGTCATAGCGGCATTGGAATTAGATGCCAACATCACGGTGAGTTGGGAGTTTGATAACGCGGTTTGATATACTATCGGAACGGGGAACTTGCGAGTTGGTAGGTCTTTGATAAGGTCTTTAACTTCCATCTGGTAACGGGTAGTAACGCGTTCGACGGTGGCAAGGAGGCTCTACGCTCGACCTCACTTTCTACTAACTCTATATGTAGGCGCAGATTGAGGGCTGGGGATGCACTGGATTTGCAATGTATCAGCCTACAGCTCTCCCTTTTGGTCGTCATCGTGAGTCGGCCTGAGGGGCTTACGAGAGCGGGCATAGTTACTACCGTATCCGATTTGAGAGTCCGAGATAATCGGTAGTAAGAATGTTGGGAGGGTGCGAGAAACTAACTATCTGGCATCTCGGACTACGGCGATGCTAGATTTTACATCGCATTGTAGGGTACGCATCCGAACTCGATCTTCCTCGGTTGGATATCTATCGTATGCTCCGATTGAAGCCGTCTTTGGCTCTAAGGAGTTCCCTCACATCGACGGGTAATTTAAGCGACGAAAGAAGTCCTCCGCTACAATTTGCTTCGATGACCTATCTAATGTCGAAAAGATGTATCATGTTACGATATCTATCATTATGACTTGAGCGGTGTACTGTGGGAAAGGAGTAAGTCAGGACTGAACGGGAGCGATGGTGGATCGGATTAAGCCAGGCTGGCGTCTGCCAACAGTTCTCGTGACGGGTTCAGAATCGGAAGCGCAACCGAGCTGCATAACTTAAGATTTAAGTTAACATAACTCGTTATTTCGATCGAGCGCAAGCGTAGAGCTACGTTTTTTTAGTAGTGTATGTCGAGTAAATGCATAAGATGGTTTAGGAATGTACCTTTGATTCTATGGAGAGATTTTTACTATCTCTTTGTTTTGTATAGTGTGTTTCCTTATATCCACGTGCAGTGCTCTAGGTAATTGCTTGAGATCTTTCGCTATCATACCACCTGCTACTGGAGTAGTTTTCATCCCGGTTACCCGAAGCAGTTGCGTTCACCTACGATGCGTTTCAAACGACCTTCAGTCTGGCACGGACAAGGCTCTGGAATAATCTACTTATGTAGTGTTTCTCAAGTGCTAATGTTTTATTATTGGTATGTATATGCTCACCTACATTCAGTTGCTGCGGGCACGAATAAGACCATAATTTCATTGCTCAAATACTTCTCATAATAATAATATCTTCAAACTAATTTTAGTTGAAAGTTTTAGATTCTGTAGTCTACATTTTCAAATTCGGAGAAAAGCAAAAAATAATTTATACCTATTGCTCATTTTGTAAATATCGTTACGGACACTAAGCTTTCCTAAATCTCATTAAAAAATAATGTTTTATTATTATTACTGTTATTTAATTATTATTTGTGAAAGAGAGACGATGATGTTTTTTATAACTTTAAGTCTATACTTGCAAAATTCCTTTTGACGGAATTAAAATTCGTTTCGTAAGTAGGTTTTTGAGCTTAATAATCCAAGGACGGTGGATTGAAAAGTAAAACAAATGTTTTTTATTATACAAACTTAAAACAAACAAAAAGAATCCGTCCGACGGGACACACATCAAATTTGTTATTTTTATTTAATTCCGAGCATTTTCATATTTATCTACCTTTTAAACCTTCTCTGGACTTCCACAAATAATTCAAGACCAAAATTAGCCAAATCGGTCCTGCCGTTTTCGAGTTTTAGCGAGACTAACGAACAGCAATTCATTTTTATATATATATATTAGACTTCGAGCTCGTATTTCAAAGAGGAGGTGTGAACGGGTGCCATTTATGTGATGTCTATTGGTTTAACTTGGCGCTAAACAAGATGTGGCCTCATTTTCCTATAAAATAAAATAAAAACGGATGCATTTAACGCAGTCCTTAGCCTCTAAAAGAATAAATAAATAAAAACAATTAGAAACAAATTAAAGCCATTGTTGTTTGTATTTTATTTAATGAAAGTTTTAATTAATCAATTTTACAATAAAACTATTTACAAAGGGCGCACGCGCGAACATAGTACAATAGATCATAAAATGATTTCAGCCAACGATCTTTATTTTTCTTTTCGTGCAAAGGTAACGAGCTTCGGAATATTATTATTCAAAAAAATACATTATTATGTCAAAAAGTGTTATATTCTAATACATTACATTTTAAATAATTGAATTATAACAATAAGGCAAGTAGTGAAAAAAATCTGATCCATCATAAGACATTACAGTAGTCTAATAACAAATAAATACATACAAAATACAAAAACCCTTGTATTGCACATAGGTACTAACGAGTCTAAAGGGTTGTAATTTTAAATAAATACAAATACATAGATAATAATATTGCCTGTGAATTGAATCATTAATAATAAAGGATTTGTTTTTATTTTTATTTTTGTATATGTTTATCTATAGTGATAAATATTTATAGGAAAGAACTTAAAAATATTTATATTTGAAACTACTTTTATGGATTATACTGACCCTTAATTGTCAGTGACTTCAAAAATTGTAAAGTAGCGCAAACGTTGGAATTGGAAATAATATATTATATATTATGTCAATAACGTCTGTTTATGTATATAGAGTAAAACATAAACACAATGTAAATTACGTCCCATGTCTTTGAAACTAAAATTTATAACACGTGAATCCAATTGCGGAATATTACTTACTGTAGAATATTTTAAATTTACGCAAAATACATAACAATATGAAAGTCACAACTTTAGTTTAAATATGACATCAAAACCTCTATTGCAACGGAATCATGGTTACTAGGTATATTTTTCAAACCTATGAGTCAAATAGCAATGACAATGGTAATAGGTAATGACAACTCACAATAGACCAAAATACTTCATTGATAATAGAGCGATAAAACAGTCATGCATTGTTAAGCGAAAGTATGTCTGAGAAAGTTAAAAATCAGAAGTGCCTTCTACATATTTTACTTTTGTAAAAGCTTTGTACCTTCACCGACCGATACCGACCGATCTGATCTTATTGATAAATTTTCTGTAACTAAATTTTATTCGTTTTAGGAACATAAAACAACTTATATAGTTTTAAGAACGTCTGATTTTTTGACATTTCAAAGTTACGAAATACGTGTAATGAAACCTATAATACGGTTTCGTTAATTGTATGTTTAATGCGCATGAGAGGTATGTGTCTGGCTTCCGAAGATTTTTAGTATACCAATAAATAATTAGTATACCTAGCGACTATTTAATGGTTTGTCATAAGCTTTGTTAAATCCCGCTGAGCTTACGGCACAGATAAAGAACTGTGTTCTTTGAGCGCAGAGCAATTTCAAACTGAAGCCGGAAACAGCTTCCGAAAACCTGACTCGACCATATTTAATGCAAAGCTATCAATAAGAAAAGTAGTGTTTTACAAAGCCTATAGTTGGTTTTTAAACTGCACGCAACGTAACACAATTTTTTAATTTTTAATTTTAGATTGCTTAGAGCTTTTAGTGCTCGTCCACCCGGACGAGCTCACAACCCACCTGGTGTTAAGTGGTTACTGGAGCCCATAGACATCTGCTGCACCACCCTTCAAACCGAAACGCATTACTGCTTCACGGCAGAAATAGGCAGGGTGGTGGTACCTACCCGTGTGGGCTCACAAGAGATCCTCCCACCAGTAATCAAGTGACGCACAAGGCTCGCGACCATGTATGAACGCGTTTTTGCTGCACTTTTTTAAATAGCTGAGATAGGTAGAAGAGTTAATACTTGACGTCTACAGATTATTGGAGCCCAGAAACATAATAACCTGGATATGGCTATGCACCTTTAGTCATAAGATTGAAGTGTCATGCATAGGTCTAACGGCATACATCAAACATAATTACTATTTCGCGGTCAAAATAGTAATAATGGTCGTCCCTACATATATAGTAATCAGGTGATTCGTAAATAATGACAAAAAAAAAATCAATACAATTAGGTAATTGCAGCACGATTTTACTTCTCGATAAGAGTTTCATAAATTATTTACATTTGATATTAAAGCTAGGAGGGAATCATATTTCCAAAGTTCAGTAACACTGGATTATAGATAATATTATAATAAATTTCATTTAGTTAACAGGAAATATATCCAAATTTATCTTATTATAAAGCGAATGATATGTTATTAATTTATTCTATATATATTTAAATTTTATAAAACATAGAGAATTTGTTAGTTCTATAAATTTATCACTTAATCTTTTGAAATACTATATGACCGAATCAATTTATTTAAGATATTATAACACTCTTTTGTGTATGTTTTAATCACACCGTGATAAACTAATATTTAAAAATATATAATTTTAATTGAACAGTTTAATTGGCAACAATTCTTTAAAAATACATACAAATATAGTAATTGAATATAACACTATTTGAATATTTTATATTATGTATAATGTATGTGTCTCGCACTAATCCTTTTTGTGCACTGTATAAGCCAATTTTTTAAATTATAAATTTTAAGCAGTTTTACCCGTGTATAGAAGTAAATTTCGAGTCATTATTCAAATATTTATAATTCAACAAATTATTTTATATATAATAAATATTCATCAAAATAATTCAACAAAATATTGTGTAGCTGGGTATAGAAGTTTCTCTTAACAACCTTAATATCTACAAAGCAGTCATCAAATGTGTACATCTTGCTAAATACTTATACTTTGCAAACAAATTGTCAAATAATTCATTTAACGTATGTTTTAATATACAAATTTAAGTAAAGTTATTTTTCATAAAATCAATGAAACAATTGTTATTTTGAAAATTAAAATAAAAGATACTTAATATTTCTATATCTTTAAAGTAAAATACATCGTATTTTAAAGCACAGCCGAAACATGTCTTAATTTTAGTTTTACGTACAATACATATTATAATTTTGATATAAAATCTAATAATAAAACAGTTGACTCCTTGGTCCGCGATTTAATAAGCAAAAGGCATTTTATTCGATGACAAAATATATTTTATTTTGGTGAAATGAACAAATGGAATTTGATTTGTTCCATGATAGAATTTGTGTAATCATTGATTTCTACTTAAGCAATGAATTTTTTTACTTTGCGGAAAAAAATGTAGTTATAATTTTCTAGCCATAATTTTTGGGAGAGGTGAGACGTACGTTGACGGATCATTTCCTTTGCCAATCAACAACAAAAACTAGACTCCGAAACGGTTGTCGTTACAACTGATTCAGTGTAACATTAAGAAATAAATCCTAATATCATAATAGGACATAACTTTTTTGAATCGGACCAAACGAAACTCTTTCTTCTGTGGTTCGTCCGATGCGACGTCGTTCGGAATTTGAACTTTGTGACACTTACTAGTTGCAACGACCATCTATGGCCGCCATTGTGACATTTTGCCTGTATTTTACGAAGCATAAAAATATAAAAAACGGATTTGACACTTATCATATAATTTTGGTGCGATTAGCGCTTACATAATGATTCTTTTAAGCGGTCCCGAACCATCGTTGCAGCGCCCACCCCTAATTCCTAAGACTAAATATTGCAGGAAAGTATTAATTTGCTCCAATATCAAAGTGATGGCTGATCATACGGTGCTTCTAATATGTACTTATTAATTGAATAATAATAGCTAGCGTGTGAATTCTAAGTATGCTCATAAATACGCATCGTTATCGAACGACAGTAATTTAAGTACCTACGTACTAATTTGTCTTAATATCAACAAATTCTAATTATGCAACACATTAGTTGACGGTATAGTCTCACAGCACAATATTTTCATATTCGTTATGCGCAATGATATTCTATAAAACTAGAATATTGAGGGTAATATTTATTTAAGGACGTCAAAAGGAGTACCTTAAAAGGTAATTTATTAAGCAGATGTACATAATATCTAATATATTTGAATGTAAATTCGGAGCTTGTAATATCAGTTATGTTTGGATTCGTTGATATAGATTGCCGTGCTTGATGGTGAGCCCATACGCATCGCAGTGTGGATGCCCATAACCGGCAGGGCCCTAAACACAACGATATATCGTACCGATTTATCTGCAGAGTCTTTTTCTTCGTTTTATTCATACTGTGTGTGAAATATCAGATTATTCCGTGTACACAGTCGATCGGAGGCAGATGCATCGTTTGGCGTGAATTACGGTTCATTCAATGTATATAAATGAGAGTTTAAATTCCGTTTTAAAAGCCAGTTTACAGCACAAACCTAATCAACTAAAAACACAGACGGTTCCTCTTCGTCTTTCGTTATTCCCTCGACAAGCTTTACGCGTGAGCTTTTGAGGAATGTTGACGATCGAGGCAAATATCGGTGGCGTGTGGAAAACGTATGTATACTGTACGGCTTTCTAGGTTTTAAATATAACTGTCAAAATTCAAATCGTTACGATATATCGTTGCCGTGTGTAGCGCCCATTGCCTTTAAACCGGAAGGCATGACCGATTCGCGGAAAAAATTGGCCGGATACGACCACGCTGGGTCCGATATCACCAGTAATTACGCAAATTAATTTCGTGATTTGATTTTTTTTAACTAGTCTTATAAGATATCATTGGTGATGCATGTATTCATTTTCACTTTTCACTTAAAAGGTAAAACCTTACGTATCGCCAGGTTCAATATTTACAGCGAGCGTTAACACGTATTCTCTATCCTTATTCAGGTAAGGCTAAAATAAATTACAAAATGTAAAAGGCATGTTCATGGTGCATTACAACATAAGGTAATTTTTGAAACAGTCATTTAAGTTTTACTTTCGAATTAACAAAAATAGATCCATAAAGTTATTTCAAAGGACATTTACAACGATTTGAGCTTTAGCTAGAATTCTACGTCTATGTAGTGATTTTTTTTAAAATAATAATATATAATATATGTAATATTTTTATAAATAATATTTATTATCATTTAAATAATACTATGTGTATATAGGATTACTAAAATAATAAGAACCAACAGATTTGGATTCTACATGACAAAACACATTCGTGTTTTGAACAAATAAAATTCGAATGCAATTCGTGACAAATATAAAATTCGACTAAGTGATGTCAGTGATTATAAACTTCTAATCAATATAAAATTCTTGTTTTTTTAAATTCTAAACACTATATTAATTTCATAACTTTTTGCAATCAATGTGATTGGACTTAATATCTCAAGGCTTGAAATAGATTTCATCATCGAAAAAAAGAAACTTGTTCTCATTTGGAATCCAATAATGATTTTCAGGTCTAACATCATATTGTAGATACAATCACGTTCCACCAATTTTTCCGGACATTGTTCCCTTCCTATTTATTCTATCTTAAGTATTTGTAAGTCACATGTAATTTTCGTAAAGTTCCTTTCCATATTGTTGAAAACTATTTCAAAACCCGTAGAACTTTCACAATGATTAATTAGTAGAGTATTAATCCTTAAATACTTAAAAGCTGCGCTTTTAGCCTTGGGATAATGTCTGCTCCAACTACATTGGCAGTTTTAATTACATTTCACTATTCAACGACTGCTGGCATCTTTCACAGTACCTCCGAATGTCACACCATAAAAGAAATATAATAGTAATAAATTCAAATCGTAACAAATATAAAACAGGATAAATATGTCGATTCGTATAAAGCAACCGGCAGCTGTAACGGTGGAGGCAGCATTAAGAAAACGCTTTGTAGTGAATGAAGAAGAAGATGAGAAAGACAGCGTACGCAGTTGGAAACGTAATCCTGGCGATTACGTCAATAGTCTTCGCCACTCGGATCGGATGCGGGGGTTCTTTTTTGCGAACCTGGACGAAACATGGCTGAAAGAAATTATTTTTGCAAATGAATGGTGATGATACCGCAAGCAATTTTACGGTGATTTTGAGGCAATAAACTGTCTAAAATGTTATTGCAATGTTAAATACATACGATAAGAGAGTCATCGTTAACACGACTAACTAAATTATTAACGAGTGTCGACGAGTTTGTAAATAATGATGAATTTATATAGATAATTGCTTTATATATTTAATTTTACAAAACACATGGTAGTCAAGCGTTGCGTGTAATGTTTTACTATGCAAGCAAGTTTGTGATGACCGAATTCCGTCGTTGTGTTTAATTTTGTTAATTATAAGTTATACTATTGATCGTAGATGAGAATTACCTCGGATACACCGCCATTATTGGCGGTGTGCGTACAGGAGCCGGGGGGGCCGGTACACGCAGTACACGACACCAAATCTGCTGCTCCTGTTGATTCTCGCTTCTTATCACCCTAAAACGTTTGAGCATTTCAGTTCTTACAATTTACTATAATAGCCCTCGAAATATATTGGAGCGAATGTGAATCTTAAAATAGGATTAAAAGTCAGAGAGTTTTCGCAGCAGAATTAGTTGAAAACTAGTAACTAAAGCTTAAGGTAAATAAATATTAATGAACAAAAGTAGATGACGGTATACTTACAGGCTGTAACGGTCCGAAGCAGCGTTAAAGAAAATAATGCGTTAGTTCTCATGATATCATAAACGGATGGAAATGTAGGGCAAAGTGTTTGCATGATGTTGCTGTGACGTCACTTACTTCGCCGCTACACGCAGGTTGAGGGGTCTCAGATTTGACCCATTGAAGAAATGCCATCGCCTCCTATGTAAAATAAGTCTTTTAGCCGAAGCATGATGTTGAATCTGCTAATTAGTGAGAAATAAAAAGCCGTTAAGTTTCGTTAGAAGCTGTTGTGAAACGAATTTTTCAATGTCAACAATATTATTGCATTCTGTTCTGTGGCAATGATTCATAAATCGTGACATTAATAGTTTATGGAAACATGCAAATAATTCATTGTTCGCACCGTATTATCTCAGATCTTGTGTTCCAAAACCCGTACTTACTAAATACCGAAGTGAAAATGATTTAAGGTGAAATGAATCTATTCGAACTGTATCTAAAATCGTGATATCGTGCGTTAATATAGCAGGAGATACTTTGCATACCGCATACTCTGCATAAGATTAAAAGCTATTCTTAGTGTTATATTATAGTGATGTACTAATTCATTACATAGTAAACTAGTGTACAAAAACGCGTACTTTTTTTTCTTTTATTAATCATTTACGCAGATTTACTGAAGTTATAGCTCTAGTGTTTTACGATTTATAAAAAGCTTTGATTTTAAATAGGGCTTAATTTTCTGTATTGAACAAAATTCAAGGTTACAGGTATTATGTAAAATAGAAATAAGAGATACAAGTGCCCTTTAGTTAGCCTTTTAAAAATCGGTAAGATGTGATACAACTTAAGAATCGAAATACAACTGCTTAATGTTCGGAGCAGTGCCAATGAATCTTCTTACCAAGGGGCTGGCCAGTATAATGCCAATTCTGCTCAGGACTGCGGGCAGTCGCTGTGAACACATCACACACACAGTTTGTTCACTCGTGACAGATGGTCTAAACGATGTGCAATCGTGACAATAGACTAGGTTGTTATGGCCATATTAACAAGTAACAGTGATTCCAGCGATTAAACTTTGCAATGTTTTCTATGAATGGTAAATGACTTTTGAAAGTAATATACAACCAAACAAAACCATAAAACTGTGTAGAAGAAATAGAGACACGGCCACACAAAATAGTCTTTAAAATGATGTGTTATGTTAGTATAAATAGTGATATTATAGATTCTGGCTTACCGGTGACGTAAGTTAAGAAGTCAGTAGCTAAATTCATGCACTGAATAAATTCATAAAAATGGACATGCTGAGAAAAATATAATATATAAGACACATGAGATGCACTAAATAGATACTCTATGTTGCGTTGTTATTGTTACAAGAAAACATTGCAAAGAGTAAAAGGTAGAAGATAAAAGACTTATTCACGGAGGATATATTTGGAAAAATACTTTATAGAATATTATTCAAAGTAATTGTAGCAAATATTATGATTGAATTGAACTTTTTCTCAGTTCTGCTAACAAAACAGTAAAATCTTAAAGTTCATTTGCTTCATTTTATTTTAAACTATAATGTGCATGTTTGTTCTCATTCTGCTCATAGTAATATTTGTATTCCTTCGTGAATAAAAATAATGTTAGGTTTTCTTGCTGAAACTTGCATTTAGGTGCGATGAAAGTAAAAGGGGTAAATGGCCACAACTAAATTACGTATTATTAGATATTTTTACAATACTTATACCTATACCACCGATAGCATAATGTGAATGAGTGTATTTACACAAATTATTTTATTACACTTTTTATTATTATAATGATCCCGCAGTGTACTCAGTGATTATAGGATATCACCCAGAATGGAGAATTGAGCCAATTTTCAATTGAATGATCAGTTATAGTGTCGGCGTTTGACTTCAAAGAACGCGTAAATGTCGCCGCAGGAATAGGTAGGATCGTGTTAGGAACGCAAAGTTCCTTCAATGAGACAGCCGTCTGTGAGCATGTGAACAAAATGCCGTTTCCTAGAAGTTTTTCGTTATGGCATAGTTCATATCTAATATCTATAGATAAAATTTTAATTTGAATTAATACAGGTAAATTATTAAATTTAAGATTATTATTGAAATATATACTATAAATATCATCAGTAATAGGGAGAAAAATTTTCAGTTTCTTCTATGAAATACGAAAAGTTCTAGAACTAAAAGTATTAAATATATCAAGAAAGCAGAGACTAGTTGTTTATTAATTGGCTGAAAATTAAAAAGCCATCCTCTTTATTTTTGGTTAATATTTTTCAACCGTATTGATAGTTTTAATTTTGTGTTAAGTTGTCGTTGTGTAACCATCGCATATCGAGTATTATTGTGTGTAAGGAAACTATACCCGAAAACGAAGACAGTAGATAGACAAAAAAATAATTAAAAAATCGTCCTCAATAAATTATATTTTAAAAATGTTTTTTTAATGCACATAATGTAGCCTAAATAACATATTAACTGTTAAACTGAGTTTTATCTAATTTAAATTTTCTAGTTAGTTTATCTATTAGTTCAGGGTGGTCCAAACCACGGCTTGTCTAATATTGTGTGATCCGCATTAATGTTATTAGATAAGTTTTTAATAAATATACAAAACAGTAAGAATAATAAGTAGAAAAATATCCGTAGAATTTTATAATTAATAATCACCCGCTATTTTCGCTTTAGATTGCTTTTTCACGAAATATATAAGAACAAGTATTTCTTGTTTAAGAAATTTCTTATCTATTAAGGTAATATACATATTTTTTGGGTTCGGGAACTGGATACCTTGTGTATTAATTTGTTATTAGTTGCTATTAGGACATGTTTTGTGAAATAATAACACAGTGTTGACAGTATAGGTGATAATAGGAAATAAACAATAACAAATATTTCAAGATATTATTAATTACCTGTGTCACAGGATTCTCCCCTGGTCTGTATACCACATTGTGTAGTGGTCTCTTCCTCCCGACGTAGTTCACGCACACGAACTCAAGTAGCGAAGCGTAAATGAAACACATGCATACGCCGTCCCAAACATTCATGGCTGTTAGGTTCGATACTACTGGCAAAGTTGATCGGAACCCGTTAGATGTTGTAAAAAAGTTCAACATTGTTGTTACACCTGTACATACAGAGATTCATGTTAGACTAACGAAGTTAAAATATATATTCAAACTATTACATGTAACCTATGTTATTATTATTACTCTATCTAATTGTGAAATCGAACTTTGTTTGTACACGCTGGTTTCCCCAATAATATTAAATTGGATTTAGGTGAAATTTGTAAAATAAATTTGGTTGTGATCGTTCATGCTTGAAGCGCATTCGATGGCGTGGGTGCACGCTTGTATTTATTACAATATTCATTTAATAGAGCACGTGATTTTTTTAAATATACAAATTTACAATATTATAGCGGTTTGCATCAACGTATAATTCGCTCATCACTTGTTTAATTTCTTAAAACATTTTAGCAATAAGGGCGTGTAGCTCTCTGTTGTCACCACCTCGTAGACCGAAAATATTCGTTTGTATGAACTGAACATGGTTGGTAATATTAGACATGTTTGTCGTGTGACATGGCAACAGGGTAACAATAAATTTACAGTTACATTTTACGTGTAAAGCGTGTTTTGAAGAAATCAATAGTGATGTCGTAGCGTTGTGTGGTGAATAGACATCCCGAATTTTTTAAATTGGATAAGTGAACATTTTTGTCTACCTATTCACTGGTAGCCTAGGAGGCTATTTCAGCTACGCCCGGACGGGTAAGTGAGCTCACGGACTCAACCTGAGAGAATTTGCTAACACTAGCCCTAGCAAGAGCAGTGCTTCCCACCGGATCGGAATCGCGACCCACTGAGAAGATCCGGCGAGAAACTCAGTGGGCTGTGTCTATGGGTTAGTTCGCTCGTCGAACTACGTAACTGACGAGTTCGACGAGGACGGTGATCGGTGCTTGAAAGGCCTAAAAGCACCGAGAGTGAATCCGGAGGATCCGATAAGACATATTTCGGGCGACGGCGGTTTTGCGTTGCCACGTCGCACTCGGAATGTGAACAGTTGAGCACACCGCTCACACAATATTAAATGGCTATGACGGAGCGGACGGCTACGGAGCTGATCGACGCCACTGTCCACCCTTAAGTCTAATGAGTATCAATTGTTTCAATACAACGGTTAGGATAGGACACCGAGCCCGGAGAGCATGATTGCTTTCTGTCAGAAACAATCAGAATGGTAGTAGAATAGTGGGTTTGCAGCATGCCTCACCATCAGTACAAAACCACATAATTACCTAGCACGGCCGCAATATCACATGCCCTGATTTATTATGCATTTTGAAATGCACAAATGTAATGTTAAGGTTAGAAGAAAAGCTTACAAAGTGGCAATCTGCGTATTGTGAGTTATTATTAAAATGCTGATTGAATAATTTAAAAGGCTTAGAACAAAAATTGATTGAGTGTGTGATTTTAAGTAATGCACCACCCCGTTATGGATGATTAAATAAAAATTGGCAAATAATAACCAACCTATCATTACTCTAGCAGGCACAGCATTCCATTCCAGCCAAAAAGTAATAAAGGATGAAGTCACCAAAATGATCCCCGGTATGAATACTGTGGTGAAGTAAAATGATCTATCTCTTGTGAAGATTAGATCCACTCTGAGGCAACTGTAATTACCTAAAATTAAAAAAGCGTTTCTCTAGAAATAAAATGTAGATCTAAACTTTCAGGATGTGGAAGGTCTTAGAATGAGATTTTGGAACGTTGAAGTTGACTTTGCCAATCATAAAAAGCGACATTTGCAGAGGTAGCGTGTTGAAATTCAGCCCCAGCCATGTCTACTAAAAAGTAAAGATAAATATTTGATGCAAGTATAAGATCGAGAACTGTCGATTGCCAGCCATTTTATTTTACCTATCATGGAACGGGCTGGCACCGCGTTCCATTCCAGCCAAAATGTGATGAACGAAGATGTCACCAGAATTATTCCAGGAATAAATACTGTAGTAAAGTAGAACGCTCGGTCTCTAGTAAAGATTAAGTCAACCTTTAGACAGCTGTAGTTACCTGCGAAGTTAATATTGTTAGGTCAAATCAATACACCGCAGAGGTGTAAATCAAAATAATAAAATAAATTAAAAAAGGTCCAATTCTGTTAAAAAAATATATTTAACCCAGGAAGAGGGTATAAGGGAGCTTGGATAATAATTTTAAATTCCAAGTAACTCTATTCAGAGGCCTTGAGAGTGAAATTATATAATTAAGATATACACAAATATATTATGATTTTAAACAAGCTACTGTACTATGTCTATGTATGAGTAATGCGTGTTGTGTTATAGTGTCTAGGAACATAAACTGTAGCATCATTCACTAGAACACAGGAGAGCTTACTAAACACGTGCCACATACAACTCGACATGCATGGAAATAAAAAATGATATATTTTTTATCAGGGAAAAATATGAAAGTGTGAAAATGAGTCCCAGGAAATGCACCTTCGAAGTACGGCTGACTTTTGCTTAGAACATTTTTACGCTCATAACACATGGACGCATTTACTCACACATAAGCCGTTTTTTATTGGAAATACGACGACCGGAAGACAGTGCGTCCGGTGCGACAGAAATACCTTGCTCCTCAAAGCGTCTCTGGCAAAGATTACATGTCAGCTCTTCGTCTTCTTCGTAAAGTGAATTACCCTCAGCTGCTTGCAAAGACGTTAATAAATTCTTACATTTACATTTCATGTTTGAATACGTTAACAAACATCTACCTAGTTGGTTTTGTGTTCTTGAAGTAAAAAGGGCAGTTGAGGCTATGATCAATAAACTAATGAACATGCGTACACGTTTTAGCAATAGTATTCCACACATAACAACGTTAACGTTTACTAAAAGCTACTTACTACTACACCACTAGTTACGTGTAAAATAAAGTTAAAAAATAACCTTCACATATTAAATCAAGACCAAGCTGAAAAGAGTTAGTCAGAATTTCAATTTCTTAAATATCATTTGGTCTTCTCTTGCGCAAAGCATAAGGATGTGCTTGAAAATAATAGAACAACATATTATCTAAAAGTTAATTAAACCAAATCGGATTTAAAAAAAAACATACGATAATATCCGTAATAAGCAATGTTTGTCGAAAGTTGTGATAGTAACTATAGTTGTATACATTACCTCTCCAACTAGCTTTTATTGGACAGGGTATAGTCTGGTTCTGAATGAGGTAGGCGTTCAATGTCGTCAGTGATGGTGATTTTCTAAGTGTATCTTCATCATTCTTCCAGACGTATGTTATGGCAGATTGTTCATACGAGACTGAAACATTTATCTGTGCGTAAAATAACAATCCTAATCTCAATGTTGCCTTCAATTATGGTGGTATATATAATTATCTACTGGTGGTAGGACCTCTTGTGAGTCCGCGCGGGTAGGTACCACCGCCCTGCACATTTCTGCCGTGAAGCAGTAATGCGTTTCGGTTTGAAGGGTGGGGCAGCCGTTGTAACTATACTTGAGACCTTAGAACTTATATCTCAAGGTGGGTGGCGAATTTACGTCGTAGATGTCTATGGGCTCGAGTAACCACTTAACACCAGCTGGGCTGTGAGCTCGTCCACCCATCTAGCAATGAAAAAAAAATTCGAATAATTTCATAATATGTTGTGTAATAAACACGATTTGAAGAGAATTCTAAAACTATTATCATACAGTTATATAGAAATTCAGTATTATAAACTAAAGTTATGTTTATACTTACTACTTTCTAAGGCAAATGAACACAATGGGTCATCGAATGGAAATATATTAAGCCGACCCTGACAAGACAGTATGAGATGTCGCCTCATCAAATAATTAATTGTTCCATTGCGATAAATACGTAACGCAAAATGCATCGGTATTATGGGATCCTGTAATGCAAACATTAAAAATTAAACAATATCTGTTATCATGATGAAACAGAATTAACGAAAAGCTTCTAAGTATAAACCTAACTAATACAACTAATTATAACTGTATACGTATAATAGTTTTCTACTAGTCAAAGGCTGAAATACAAAATACTTAAATCTTTACTTAAATCACACTCTTACACGAATATAATTACTAAAATGAATACAGCAAAAATGAAATTGTCAGCTGCAAATGTGAATCGTTGGACGGCACGTCCAATGATATTGATGAAGCTTTATTTATTGCATTAGTAAATAAATACCCGTGAGTGTTCAGAATACTCCTTCAACAGAAAGCATGGCGAAAATAATTTCGTGTAAACTTAGTAGAACATAACATGTTTTAAACATAATGTCACGGTCATTGCTTGTTCAACTACTGAAGATAACTGACCTTAAAATCTCCATGCATGATGAAATATGTATCAGGCAGCCAAATATCTTCATGATGATGTATGGCATTTAAATAATCGTAATGCGATTGATTGGAGTATCTTAACCGAGGGTCGTACCATTGTTGTTGAAGTAAAAACTCCACTTCGTATTTCTGAAAAGAAAAATATGTTTAAAAATACTTCGCTCAAACAATAAGAGGGAAAAAACATTTTTATTTCACACTTACAAGACTAGATTCATCTGGAGATGCTAAGCTAAGGAGAAGCACGCTAACATTTACTGTGAGAACACCTGAAACATAAAACCGTCCGATGAAGAAATTAAACAATTAAATTCGTATAACACTAAGAGTATGTACACACAAAACCGTAAACTAAAAGTAGTTTCCATGCTGAAGGAGTGCTATTTTCTAAAAATGTCTTTAATTTTTCATTACATAGGTACATACATTATATATATATATGCAAAATTACAAAGTAGCTGTCCTGGAGTGTTGAGAGAATAAATAAACGGATTTTGAATCAAATATTTTGTTGACAAATTCCAATGCTTGTGAAAAGAGAAAAAATATGTATATTAGAAGCTCAAGTTCAGATTTAGGAATTCTTGAATAAATCCAATTATGTTAAGTTGAATAACAGATTATAATACTAATGAATTACGTTACCATTATATCGAAATAAATGTACGTGATATTAATTTTCAATTGAACGAGAAACTAAAATTCGTTATCGTGTCATAAAACTTTAGTACTAAGTATTATGATTTTTCCTGACGGTAAATATATGTTGTATACTTTTTTTTCTGTGCTTTGCAAAGCGGTTATTTTATAAAAATATTATGAGAAAATACAAATCTAAATATCTTTGCAACTTTGCAGTTTATGATTATGTTCTAGGCTTATATGTGTAAGTGAGAGGTGAACCAGGTAGGTAGTACAATTTGTTAACTAATTATCATCTACTATGAGCAAGGCGATTTTAAATAAACTATAAAAATATCGGACATCCGGGGTAAGGCTGTAATGAATTAAATGAAGAGAACAAAACTCATGTATTAGGATAAACAGCGATATGTCAATTAATTGTCAAATTTTATTTATTTATTTTAAATTTAAGTACAAAAGAGATATGTATATAAGTATCTGAATAAGACAGATGTCAAAAAAAAACAAAGGTTAAAAAAACTTTCAGCAGACCTGCGAGAGAAGATCGAGGATAATAAATCTAAGACATGGTATACAGTACTTGATTTTATTTTACCTACAATGAAAAAATGATGTAAAAGACATTATGTGGCAAGGAATAGACCGAATGAATAATCAGCTTTAGTTACTTCAAAAATCAAAACTTCAAAAAACGGGACTGAATGAAGTTGAAAATATATTTTTGTTCTATAAATTGTGGGTGTCACTGTGCTTATCACAGTGTGTAATAATCCTACATATTCAAATGGCATATACTTTTTGATTAAAGTTTTTGGATACTCGAATAAGAATATTAAAAGTAAAAGGATTCACGTGTACTGGTGTTGTGCACTAAAATATTATCATAAAAGTGCAATAATGCAAAGACAGTGAAATTTAAAAGAAGATAATTAAAAGTAAATGCACAACTTTGCTTAATTACAGTTGGATTAGAAGTTTGCTTTGTGTGTGACAATTTAAAAGGCGTGCAATATTGCAAATAAACACAGAATCACTAAAATACACATAAAGACTAAAAATAATTTCTCTTTTCAAAAACATTAAACAAAACGCACCGCGATTGTGCGAACGGGGCCGAAGCGACGAAAACCCGACCCTATTTTGTGCCAAAGAGTCGTTGGGTGAAGTTAGACCACAACAGAATTCTGGATCTGCAATATTACACGAAGATATACCGGCCCTACATTCGAAAATTATGTCCAATAAATTCAATGGTGGTATTTACAAAACAATATATATCAGTAAGTATAATATTATTGGTATTTACCATCAACTGGTGGGAGCAGTCTTTTGTCGTAGCGGGTATTTTTAAGAAGATTGTCCAAAATCTCTTTGTCCGACTTTCCCGCGGCAAAGCTGCAACAAAGATTACTTTATTTATTAAATACTCTTCAAATCCAAACATTAAATATCGAAAACTCAATGCGAAAACCCTGTATGAATGATAGATACAATATTAAAACTGTTTAAATGGCAAAGAAAATTTTTTCAAGTTCCTAGCACTGCGTGGTAAGTCAATTTCGTGCAAACATTACTTACTCAGATTGCTCGATAAGGTAATGCTTTAATTATTTGATTCCTGTTTGTATTTGTATTCTTTACTAATACTAACCTATGTTGACAGATGTTTTTTTGCTTAGATGGGTGGATGAGCTCGCGGCCCACGTGATCTTAGGTGGTTACCGGAGCCCATAAATATTAACAACGCAAATGTCATCACCTACAGAGATGAGTTCTAAAAATATTATACTATAACGGCTGCCCCACCCTTCAGACCGAAACGCATTAATGCTTCACGATAGAAGTAGGTAGGGCGCGGGATTCGAACAACGGCAGAGTCGCTGCTTGATATGAATGCACCGGGCGTCTTATCCTTTAGGCCACGAGATTGCAAAAATGTATAAATTTAACAAATTATTAGAAGTAGTTGTCGCCTTAAAGTCGTCGTGGCCTAAAGGATAAGACGTCCGGTGCATTCGTATCTAGCGAGGCACCGGTGTTCGAATCCCGCAGGCGGGTACCAATTTTTCTAATGAAATACGTACTTAACAAATGTTCACGATTGACTTCCACGGTGAAGGAATAACATCGTGTAATAAAAATCAAACCCGCAAAATTATAATTTGCGTAATTACTGGTGGTAGGACCTCTTGGGAGTCCACACGGGTAGGTACCACCTCCCTGGTAATGAGTTTCGGTTTAAAGGGTGGGGCAGCCGTTGTAACTATACTGATACATTACAACTTATATCTCAAGGTGGGTGGCGCATTTACGTTGTAGATGTCTATGGGCTCCAGTAACCACTTAATATCAGGTGGGCTGTGAGCTCGTCCACATGTCTTAGCAATAAATAAAAAAACCACTTAACACCAGGTGGGCTGTGAGCTCGTTCTACCATCTAAGTAATAAAAAAAAAAGAATTAAGGCGGAAAGCATCAATTGCTCGTCGAGCTTTTCGCTCGCTACGCTCGTGAAAAACTTGTTTCAAAGGTAGTCAAATTGATGACATAGAACTAGTGGTAGAAACCCGAGAAGCTCAGATATGCAATCCCGTATTTCAAAGGTAGTCAAATTGATGACATAGAACTAGTGGTAGAAACCCGAGGAGCTCAGATATGTAATCCCGTATTTCAAAGGTAGTCAAATTGATGACATAGAACTAGTGGTAGAAACCCGAGGAGCTCAGATATGTAATCCCGTATTTCAAAGGTAGTCAAATTGATGACATAGAACTAGTGGTAGAAACCCGAGGAGCTCAGATATGCAATCCCGTATTTCAAAGGTAGTCAAATTGATGACATAGAACTAGTGGTAGAAACCCGAGGAGCTCAGATATGCAATCCCGTATTTTCGGATTAGTAGCGTGCAGATTATTTACGATCAAGATTCTTTGACTATAAATTAGCATCATTCAGGTTTTGGTTATTAAAGTGCGCATGTTTGAAATTTGAAGTTCTATTTTGGTCTAAATGAGAAACGCCATTCATCAACGTGGTTTTTTGCTGAAAAAAATTGAGGAAAGAAAGTACAGCGGTTCGTATTGATTTTAGATTAGTTCTTCCACTCAACAAGCGTTTCCCTTTATGTATTGGGGGCTACATATGTGTATTTTTCACCCATTGTTATAGATAGATATACATAGATAGATTGTATTGCCGAAAATTAAATTTCTATTCTAATTAAATATTTTTCCTAGGCAAATTTTCTTTATCATACAAAATAATTCCAATAAATCAAACAAAGATACAAAGCATTGTTGGACCTTGTGCAGTGAGTAGTTTAGTATGTAGTGAGTGTTAGAGAGTAGATTGTGAAGAGGTCTCAGCAAACTTAGTTGATCTAAGTAATTACTAGAGTGATGGCAGGTTAATCTAAATCTTCAAAAAAGGTTTCAGCGTATCTTTAAATAAAAAAATGAATTGCTGTTCGTAAGTCTCACTAAAACTCAAGAACGGCTAGACCGATATGGCTAATTTTGGTCTTGAATTATTTATGGAAGCCCAGAGAAGTTTAAAAGGCAGATACATATGAAAATGCTCGGGATTAAACAAAAATAACAATTTTGTTTTTCCTTTGATGTGTCCCCTGTCGGACAGATTCCTTTTTTTTTGTTTTAAGTTTTATACAAAAGCTCTTAGGTCTTTTATTTATAGATTGAGGCACCACGAAGTCTGCCGGGTCAGCTAGTTCTTTAATAAAAAGATCGTGTTTTACATGTGGAAAACGGTGTATCCTAAGGTTTATAAACGGACCGAGAAACTTCACGGTCCGTCGGGCGCGGATTGTCGCAGAGTGTGTTACTTCCACGTCGTCGCTCTTCAGTCGCCACACCCCAAGCTGTGACATATTATATAAATATGGAATCGTGGCATATATGAAGTCTTCGCATAGCCAAAAAAAGACGGATTGATGTAATTGTAGCATACTCACTTTATGGTTACACACCAAAGTATGCATTTAAGATTTGTATGTAAGATACTATCTATGTAGGTACTTACATGTCGGACGTAAAAGCTGATATTTTGCCGAGCATGAGGATAAAGGCCACGGCGCGTGCCACGACGCATGACCAACCCATATTAGGACATCTGAAAAGAAATGCTTGATACTTTAAACCTTTTACTGTTTGTTAATTTTTCAACAACTTATTGTTGTGGATGTGTTTTTTTATACAAGAAGGATGGGTAGTTTACGGCCTACAGATAATTCAAGAAAACACTGTTTTGTGCATAGACGCTGCCAATGGCAGGCACCCAGCTAAAAGCTCCCAGCCCAGGCTCGTAAAGAGAAATCGACAAAAATCGATTTAAGTATGGTAAGGTAAAATTTAAAAAAATTAAGATTTGGCTTGGCTGCATTATTCGACTGAGTGGTAGCCTTGAATGTTGTAATTGCGCTGCTGTTGCTTTCAATAGAAGGGAATTCGAACAATTACTTTTAAATTATGTATAAACCAAAGCAAATAGTGAAAAGACGGGACTAAGTGTGATTTTATAAAAAGTACAGTCTGTAACCATTGCACAAAAACATTTTTACAGAAACGAAAAAGTCATCGTCCAACGCACAACTATAATATTATGTCAAATGAAAACATTATCAACCGAATAAATTCATTTTTTTTTATCTAGTTTATTTATTGTGTTAATTTATACAAACAAATAAATTTCAGATATGACTTAGATCGTTTTGTGAACTTTCTAAATTTTCCGCCAATTTTCTATTTTGTCTATCTCTGAAACTTTACAAAAATTATGAACATTTAAAAATATATATTCATTAATCTGACCAGCTGATTTGAAGTGACTAGCTTACTAAAGAATAACTAATTTTATTTACATACAAAATGTGAGATAAATTTTCAAACAGCAACGATTAAAAACTTAATAGGTACATATTCCATCTGGGGATTTAACAATTTACAGATATCTCGTTTCCCGTTCCCTGAGCCAAGTCTGCAATTTAATGTGATAGTGATGTTATGACCTAAATTTGCGTGTTGCAAGGCTACACTGATATTTTTACCCTAGAAAAAAAAATAACGTAACCCACTTCCAAAATTTATAACGTCATAAGCTGGCGGTTATAATGTGAACCTGGCTGTGATGTTTGTAAGAAGCTATTATAATTTATGATAATGGTTATGTTTTCTTATTTATCTTACTTTGTATGAGTTGAGGGTAGTGACAAAAAGAAGGTTTTACACAAAGCAGGTAATATTTATTGATCCAAATGTTCGAAGCTTGTATATGAGTAAGCTTATCATGAAAATGTCGCCAGCGAGATTCAGGCGTCTGTCAAATTACTTTAGTTCTATGATCGCTACCGTCACATCACTGCGCTCTGAGTCCTGCCATTTAGTTAGTGCTGTGTGTGCTGAGATTAGCTTGCCAGTTTGAGCAGCACGAAGCCTGCGGTGAGTCAAGACAGCTTGAATGCTGCGGTAGTGGCGTGAATCTATACAAATATAAAAATCTACAGTGGTTTTTACGGATGTTCCGTTATAACTACTGAATCATGCATCCGATTGACTTGAAACTTGGTAACTTGGAAACTTGCCGCAATTTTACACGCGGGAGGAAATGTCCTACTTTTCTCCCTTGGTGCACAATGTACTATTAAATGTATTGTGACTTTGTTTTATTATAATTTCCTTCTTATTTTTTTTAATAGGGCCAATGACTTCTCGTGATAACATCAAACTTAACATTTTATATAAAATATTAAATACTATACTGTATTTGAAAAATGAATTTAAAATGAATGAAATCAATCCTAGTAAAATGGTGGTTGATTACCGAAACTTCAATAGAATTAGTGAAAGAACCTGAGAGTCCACGTCCACCTATGGTTCTTAATATACTTTATATACATAATACATATATAGTATTTTTATGTTTGAAGCTACGTAAAATTATCCCAGTCGAATTGAAAATTATAAATTTCCAATCATAGGTTCAATGAGCGCCCATTTGCAAGCGTTCAATCAGCAAGCTTTGGTACAGTAAGTACTTTAATTTACAGCAGAATAAATTGAATATTTATTATTTATTTAAGTACACCATGTTGCTTAATATCAAAATAATAATTTGAAGAATACCTTTCTGCCTACTTCAGATGCCGACAGCATGTGTGCTACGTATCAAGCCGGCACCGCTGTTTGCGTCCTCCAACATTTCGCGTTTGCTGTCTGCAAAAAAATACACTACATGAGTGGAAGCTACTGAATCTACTTATAATAGAAGCTAGATTGTGGATTTGTATAATTTACATGATTAAAATTCGTTTTTAGAGTAGTAACTTGGAATTAAATAATAATAATAATTTATTTATTAACCTTGAAAACATTTACACATAACAGTTTGCTAAAAACTCTCCACACTAGGCACTGCCTGTCTCGTGGAGAGTTTTTTACAGGATTATCTTAAAACTAGTAATAAAGGTGCCGAATATACCTACTGCTGAAATGAAATCTATGATTAAATCTATCCCTATGAAATCACAACGTAAATGCTACAATAAGTAATATAAATAGCTATAAATAATCTAAATGGTATAATACTATCCTTTACTATCCACTTTGAGGACAATGGGCTTCTGAGCCTGCACGGGATACATTTCCGCGTACAATGCTAGTAATGCAATTGGACTTCAATGTTACGTCAATCCGGTCATCGTTCTCGTCGAACCCGTCGCTTGCAACGAAGGGCTCGATGAGTAAATTAACCCACAGACACAGCTCACTGAGTTTCTCGCCGGATCTTCTCAGTGGGTCGCGTTTTCGATCCGGTGGTAAATTTTGCGAAGCACGGCTCTTGCTAGGGTTCATGCTAGCAAAGTCGTCAGGTTTGAGCCGCGTGAGCTCACCTACTAGTTAAGGTTACGCTGAAGTAGCCTCTCAAGGCTATCAGCTTAGGTAGGAAAAAAAAGTTACGTCAAAGTAAAATTTAATGTCAATTTCAATATTTCACAGTCCCTAGGTAGTACTTTTATTGAATTTATTTTAATTTCCATGCACACCATATAGAGTCAGTGTTTGAGATCTTTGTGACCTTCGTAACAACATACTTTTCTTAAACATAAACATAAGTAAACCAAGCAGAATTTTAAGCAAGGTTGAGTAACCAAATTAAAGTATGTCTTCTGTGTACTAATATGAACATATTCATCATACTAATGAGTGGTATGATTAGTTACGGAATGCTTTGTCGGTTTTATTACTAGTAGAGTGACAAGTAGACTTGATGAATGGAAGTAGATTCGGTTATCGGTATTAATCATAATTTAGGGTAGAAAAATGGTTGTTGATTATATTTGTTACTAGTTCTTGCGCGCGGCTTCATTCTTCGGTAATTTATAATTTCAAAAATAATGCTCTGTAAAAAATTTATGGCTTAGAAGACTTTGGAAACGTGTAGAATGAAATTTTTTTCTAGATTATATTCGGTCCCGTACATCCGTACGTTAATAATGGTTGATAAAATAAATATTATTTGATTAATCTTAATATTTTACAAAAATAAAAAGGCAGAAGACGTGTCACGCACACGATTCGGCGTTATGAAGCATCGCTTCCCAGCTTTTACCTTAAAATTGAGAATTCATTGAATACGAAGTTGAACGATTGAGAAGAATTTATTTTATACCTTAATGATCGATTGTTTTTTGTTTGTTTATGTTTAAGGTACTGTACTTCAAGTTTTTCTTTAGTCTATTGAATGTCCGTGATTCCAAAAAGAAAGACGGTACTGAGAATAAGTGTCGAAACAAAACATTTTTTATAATAACGCAGCAATTTGTTTAATTGTCTAAGTACAAAAAAGTTACAACAAACAAACCAAAGAGGTATTAAAAACTACAGTAAAAAGTACTATATAGAACTAGTATGTATTATCAGATTAACATTACTTCGGTGTACTATGGTGTGCTTGATCCGGAAACACCTGAAGTTGGCGTCGAAACGGTCCTGCGCTAAGGCTATGCGTAATGATAATCGCCGTTGAATACTACCCAATTCCTGCCCACGCAGGAGCTAGTCACCGTCGACGCCCTGAAACGTCCTTACGTATCCATCAGGTCCATTAACCTCAGAACTAGACGCGTTCAGCTCCAGCACTAGGAGCAGGCTTAGGGACGGCGGTAGCCGTACTCGTCGAACTCGGCAAAGAGTTCGACGTACAACCTAATCTAAACATCAGCCCGTTTAGTTTCTCGTCGGATTTTCTTAGCGGATCGCGATTCCGATCCGGTAGTAGTTTCATTCACATTCGAAGCAGCTGGTTCAACTAAGTCAAATTTAGTAAAAAACAGTGTTAGCATAAAAAAATCATAGAAATTATACATAAGTTTTGTATTAATGTATATTTTGATTTTTACTGTTCCTTCCTATTTTGAGAAAAAACGTATTCCCTAAATTTTTACGGTTCTGTAGAATTTTAAAGGTTCTTTAAAAAGGTTTCATGTCCTTTACTTATTTTAATCACTGAAATATATGTCACTTTATGTTTATTCGATGATATTCAGATATTAAATTCCATGTTAATAAAGGCTTTGTTTCGATTGAAATAACATAAATTAAATCGAAGCTGACAGTTTCCGACCGTAGCCTTCTGCGAGTTATTATGTAACGTGACCACAATAATTAAGTGAAAACTAACAACCAAATCGATTCTTGTTAAAATTAACGTGGAATTTAGTCAGAAAGCCAATTCTATAATATTTGAATTGAAATATCGTTTTTGCAACATTTTTATGTTTTGTAATGGGAACTAGAAAATAATGAACTTCCAAAAATCTATATCTATATCTATACTAATATTATAAAGAGGAAAGATTTGTTTGTTTGTTTGTTTCGAATAGGCTCCGAACCTACTGGACCGATTTGAAAAATTCTTTTTCCATTAGAAGCCGACATTGTCCCTGATGAACATAGGCTACTTTTTTTAATTTTTTTTTTTTTTATATTTTTGGTTTCATGTGTGTTTTAATGTTTCCGAAGCGAAGCGAGGGCGGGTCGCTATAGTTAATAAAACCAGATGAGCGACTATCTAATGTTAAGGATTACTGTATTTAGACAGTGGTAGTGCCAGCCGCTCTGTTGCTGACCACATTAGATGCCCATATAAGTAAAAAAATAACCAGGGGACAAATTTATAAGTTTGCATTGTTACTGGCGAAGGTACGTATTGTAAGGCCGCAAGTGATCCCATGATATCCGGTTTGAAGGTTGGGCAAACGTTACATTATAACATTGAGATTTCTTACCCTCTTTTTTATTTTCGTAATCGTAATTCGTTTTTATGATCTTAAGTTTTATACGCTCCGTTAATTAAATATGTACTTATAGAAGCATTTAAATCTCAGGAAAATGACTACGAAATACGATGCATAATAATATACATTTAGGAAAATTCCAAGAAGAAATTAATCTTAAATTAAAAAAACAATGTCCGAGAAACCAACGAACTCTTTTGTAGCAAAGTTGATCGTCATTTATTTCCTTGTATTCCCAAATATTGTGATGGGCCATTACTGAGCTCGTGTCCGGATCCTTTCAGCAACTTCCGGCCGAGTCACTGCATTTAATACCCTTGGGGTTATATGGGTATGTTATTTACACTTGTAATATTCATGTTCACACATCTACTAAATGGCATAAGGATCATGTAATATCCATATGGTATATATATATATTCCGTTTTTATTTGATACACTACATTCATCAACCTCGCTGATAGCCAATAGCGATTGTAATATAGTTTGAAATTTCCAACATTTTTTAAGATTTATTAGCACATTTTGAAATCGTCGTGGCCTAAGGGATAAGACGTCCGGTGCATTCATGTTGAGCGATGTACCGGTGTTCAAATCCCAGGCGGGTACCAATTTTTCTAATGAAATACGTACTCAACAAATGTTCACGATTGACTTCCACAGTGAAGGAATAACATTGTGTTAAAAATCAAACCCGCAAAACTATAATTTGCGTAATTACTGGTGGTAGGACCTCGTGTGAGTCCGCACGGGTAAGTACCACCACCCTGCCTATTTCTGCCGTGAAGCAATAATGCGTTTCGGTTTGAAGGGTGGGGCAGCCGCTGTAACTATAGTTGAGACCTTAGAGCTTATATCTCAAGGTGGGTGGAGCATTCACATCGTAGATGTCTATGGGCCCCAGGATCCACTTAACGCCAGGTGGGCTGTGAGCTCGTCCACCAATCTAAGGAATAATAAAAAAAAAAAAAAATATTTTTGTATAAGATTAGATTTATATGTTTTAGGAGATTATAATCACATGAAAAAGTGTTTTTAATAAAGTAATTGTTTGACATTAAGTATGAAATAGGCTAGCAGCAAGTTTTTTTTTATTTACCTTGTAGGCAGACGAGCATACGGCCCACCTGATGGTGAGTGGTTACCGTCGCCCATGCACTTCAGCAATGCCAGGGGCAGAGCCAAGCCGCTGCCTACCGCTTAATACTCTCCACAAGCCTCGTTTGAAGAAGCAAGAAGAAGAAGCCTCGTTGCAAGTAGAATAAAATATTGAGTTTACATCTGCTTTCATGCACATAGGCCAAAATACCTTCGTAGAAAAATCATGCTTTACACTTTAATCTGATATAATTGTAGAATTTTCTACTTATACCTCTCTTATATCTCTTGTACAGTTCGAAATTACTTAGCCAAGTTATCTCATGGTTGCGTGTTTATTATTGCCTTGTTTTGAAGACGTGGGATGTTGCGAAGTGACTTTAATGTTCTCGTCATGAGTTTGTTTGCGACAAACTTTGTTTTTAGGTTCAGCTACAAGGTAATTTCGCCGAGTTTCTGGTTTTTGACGGCCGCAATATTAGACATGTGACAGTTTAATCTTTTCATTTTGTTAACTATTGATTTGAAGACGCATACATAAGTAATGTAATTTTAAATGGCTTATTAGATCGAAAACCCTGGTTTTAAATATTAAGTTCTTCTAGAACTACCCCTATGAATAAATTTGTATTCAGAACGATTTTTTCAAGTACATATTATAATAATATAATATAATGATAATTTGACGCGCAAAATAATTTACCGTATTCTAAAAGAAGAGAGATGTCAGCTTCAGATAATCCTTGTTGTTGATTTCTCGAAGTTTTATCAGTAACACAAAGGCTTGTTCAAGGATGTATTTCTTGGCTGATCTTGACT